TTCCATCACCTTCCCAGGGATGGAGGTGAGATGGGTGTGAAGTAAGCAACATCCTTTATTTTAAGTTGGCTCTTTGTCAATGACAGGAAAAACAGTTCCAAGAAGTGGAAGTGGAAGTGTATCTATGCCTCCACCGTCTCCTCTTCACTTCGCCTTTCTACCATTCTTCATTCTTAACCCTGGTTGTCTCTTAGCTCTGCCTGCTCACAGGTTCCTGCCATGGCCTACTTCATCAGGCCTGTTGTTCCCTTCCTCTGAGAGCTGGACCCTCAGCCCACCTCTCCCCCAAGCTCACATTGAGAACCTGGGAAACCCTATAAGCTTCCATAGTGCCTCCTCAACTCCATGCTGAGTCTTTTCTTTAACAAGGGTTGTCCCACCTGAGGAGGAAATGGTCTGGTGGTCAGAGTACCAGCACAGGACTTGGAAAAGCTCAGGATCAAGTTCATACTTCAGGCACTTCCAGTGTGAACGAGGTTTTTCTTTAAAGTTACCAACACGGTAAAATGTGGTGCATTTCCAAGATACCTGATTTAGCTTTACACAACTTTAACTGAATAATCTTTACATCACATGCACTGGACAGGATATATCCAGTGGCACTTCATGCCACCCCTCTCCTCTCATGTATCAGTCTTTCTCTACCCTGCAAGAACTGAGGAAGTTTAAAAGCAGGAAAAAGTACTCCTTACTCATTTTTTAGCCTGATTCTGTCAACAACACCAGACCTGCCCCCGTGGGGCCTTGCTGCTCTCAGTGGAGTTCAATAAGGTTCTGCCCATGTAGACTCAATTAAAGGCTGTCTTCCCATAAAAGGGGACACAGTCAGTCACACATTTGTTTTTCTTATTGTTTCAGTTATGTTAAATCAAAGCTTAAGAAAGCAGAAGTAGACACACTCAAAAGGAGTGTGACAGATTAAAAACCCATTGAAATTTTTCAACAAAGTAAAGGAGCCTTTGTTTTGCAATCGAAAAGAAAATTCACTTTAACTAGGAGTGGTTTTGATTCCTCTTGAGGAAATAACCTCTCACAACTTCTCTTCTGATTAAACACGTGGTAGCCTCTTACTGCTTGAAGAATACAGCGCTACCTTGGAATTTGGTCTTGGCCCTTTCTTTATGAGAACAGTCAAAACTGAATTTTAAATTCTGTAACAAAACCAAACCTTTTGAAGTTATGCATACACACACACTGTTAAACCATAAGCCAAGCAGTGAGAAACAAAGAGTAATATCCTGACCAGGACTGTGCAGTGCGACAAAAACTATTTGGATCCTGACATTGGCTACAAGTCTCCTATAAAAGTCAAGATATTAAATTATACATCTTTGAGGTATTTCTATTCCATTTCTGTTAAAATGAAGACTAAACTGCACCTTTCTGTCTCTTGCACATACTTCTCTGCCTTTTCTATTTGTGATCCTTACAAATTGGTCCTCCATCTGAACGCTGAAGCTTCTATACATTGAACCTAAATAATAAGCCTCAATGTGCAGAAACCAGCCAGAAAGGTCAGGTGCCCTACATCACTTACCAGGCTTTTGATACCAGCCAAATGGGTGTATTCTGACTTCAGCATCTGGTGAGCTACAATTTGAAACTTGCCAGGCACTTCTTGTTCCCTCAGCACATGTCTGGATTCCCAGGCTGTTCAGAGTCAGGCACACAATCTTTCCACCTGCCAGGGAAATACAGAAATTATTAGGAAAATTTTCCTCTTCTAGATAGTATTTTGAGGAGAGTGAATTCAGCACAGTTTGCACTGAGAGTTAGAAGGAATTCCACTGACTTAGAAATCAAAGGAGGGAAATACCTGAAATGGTCCAAGTTTTACTGTTGTTGAAAACAGTGTTGAAAAATGATAATGGGTAACCAATATTATAACCCGCTAAGGTCACTAGGAGTATTTCCACTGAGCAAAGATCACGACCTCTTCTGGTTAAAGCAGCTCTTTCTGGTTAATGCAATCCTTGAAATTAAAAATCTGCATATATGTTGAAACACAGCCCCTACTTACTTCAAGATAAAAATTCTGCCTTTCAAAGACCTAGTGTAAATATTTCTGCACTTGAAAAAAAATGGAGAGTTTGAAACACATCTAGCAGTTTCATTGAAGATTTATCCTAGCTCATGTTAAAATCACTACTGAAATCTCTCTTGCCTATATGAATGTCAAGACTGCAGGTCTGAAATGTCACAGATAATAAATATTAATCAGATAAAGAAAGAGGTGTCAGCTTTGCATGTTCAGTGGTTTAAAATCCTTAATTTATTTTAGAACTATTTAAAGAAACTTAAAGTCATATTCAGTTAAGACTTCAAATTTTACGTGGTCACATGAAGGTATGAAAACTGTCAACTATTTTTGATTTGTGCAGTAATTCCCATCTAAACTACATTGGATTAATTTTTCAAGCCGCTTATTTTTGACTGAGTGAAAATTTTGTTTGATGAGCAAGAAAGGGAATTAAAAAATATATATTAATGAAGTGTTCCAAATTTTGAAATGAATTGTTAAACCAGCACATCCTGATCTCAGGAAGGGTTGATTAGCGCATGACACTTCCAAAAACAAGGCTGGTCATTTTAGTAGCCCAAATCTGAATTTAGAATCAAACATTAAAAACTATTTCATTGACTTTGACCTGGATGCCATGCAATTTTAAACACCTGCTTTAAAGACTTTCTTTTAAACAGAGCACTTCCTTTACAGATGGTGGAGAGAAAGGGAAGCATCTCCAAAACAAGATTTAGTCAACCAAAGCTCTTAATGACCCTATAGTTGAGTCAATACATATCTCCCTACTATAAAGGGAGTGTAGGGTGACAACACCCCTTACGTTAGGCATCTTAAGTGAGAAAAATATGTTTGACTTTCTAATGGCTTTCAAGTCATGTGCATTTTTAAAGATCAGATTTCCTCAGACTAACAGTAATTCTACTTGAGATGTCTTAAGTAGCTAAAATACTGAGGGGAAGATAGGCAATCTCTACCCCTAACCAATCTTGCTCAAGTAGAAGACTAAAATCTGGGAGCAGAGATGTTCAGATATCCAAGAAAGCCAAAAGGCTAAGCTTTCCCAAAGTATTCATGGACATTATGTGCTTAATGTGAATTTAATTACAGTAATATTTAAGCTTTTAAGTCCCTTCAGCTTTAAAAAATGAAACAAAACAAAAGAAAAAAATCACAAAAAGAAGTTGACCAACATTTTGGAAGATCAGTTGATAAGTGAGAAGTAACATCTCCCTGGAGTTTTATCAGTTTGAATTTCATGCTATTGGTACTGCAGCCTCTTAAGGACCCATTCTCTTGAATTTTTCTTAATAATTTCCTAGCTGTGGAGCATGTCACTGGTCTGAACTTCTAGAAATGGTTATGATTACTGAAAAAGTTGCTAAAGTGGCATAAGATCTGCAAGGGCTTTTAAAGTACTCTTCACAGCAAACGAATAATTAAGTTTGTAATAATGAAGGAAGATTAAAATTATTTAAAAAATAAAAATAGTTTAAAAATACCTGATAACTGGGATTCATTAAAAAAGCCAAATCCTGTGCAACAGGGGTCAGCATCACACCAACGCTCACACTCAAAAAAGCTGGGAAAGGAAAAACATCATTACTTTTCTTATCAGTAGCAACCTCTCTCTGCCATGGAGAAGAAAAGAGAGGATATTGCAGAAGAGAGAGACACCGAGGACCTGTAGAAATGTCTTTCACAATAAGACCACTTCATGGTTCTTCATAATGCATAGACACTTCCACACATTTTCCATTTGTTGATGAAATTACATTCTGCCAGTATACATCTACCAGAACACATCTAATAATTTACAGGAGTATTTTGATATCTGTCCTAAAAATATCAGCTTATATTAATTTGGTGTATTATTGCCAAAATATTTAACTGCCAACCAGTAATTTAATAGCAGTGTAAGTAATAATTCACATATATCAAATTACTAATTATTTATATTATTATTTATAATTCAATTATAAATTTACTTTAAATCACATGCTTTATTTTCTTTGTTATATATTCTCAAATAATGCTTTTCTTGGATCAATACATCTGATCCCCTTCATCTCCGTAACAGAGCCTTGATATTCCACGCATGATTAAACTTCCAGTAAAAACATAGGAACAGTCATGTCCTACCCATCTGAAACGGTTTTTCTGCTCATGTCAGTCTTATTCCTCACTGAGATCTCAGTTACTTTCTGGAATGGCACACGTGTGTAGAAGCTCTTCACAGAACCTTTTAGAGTGACTGGAAGGTAAAAGAAAAGAAAAATTGGAAAAATCAGCTTAACCTTGTAATTTACATAAACTGGACAAGTAATCACATGGTAAAGGGAAATTTATGTTTCTATGCTACAATGGTCTGGATCCATCAAAGGCAATTTTTACAATATTACAGTAAACTTTTGGTGGTTAAGCCTGAAGATGAACAAAACTCCAACAAGCAAAGGTTCTAAAAACTTAGCAAAGTACAGAGCCAGGGTAGACTTGCAACCCAGGGCTTCTGTTTCTGAGACCTGTATTGACATTTTTCCTTACTCAGGGTCAAAAACTGGGGAACAAGTCCAGTATACTCATGCATAAGTCAACTTGCGTTTTACTCTGAGCTCTCCAAAAAGACATAATTTAATAGTTTCGTTAAGTAGGCCTCTACATTTTTCAAAGCAAAAGTACAGATTCCTGTATAATGAATATATAAAAAGGGCTTTTTCAAAGAGCAGAGGTTAAAATCCACATGTTTATAACTGTGGATTTGCTAAAAAAAAAATTAAAATAAAATACTACACTCAACAAATTTCAATTTTTGCATTGCTTATCTACCATGGAAATTTTAATGGTTGAAAATAGGACTGGTGACTTCCTAATGTCACTCCCTTTTTACCCTCATTATAAAAAGATCTAAGACCTGGTATACAAATTACCTGAGCTACTCTTGGCATCTCTGAATTGGGAATAACTGAGCTGGAGAGTGGAACTCATGGTTAATATCTTTCCATTTGGAACTGAAAATGCAAAACCATAACCAGAACAGCTTGACCTTCCCTTGCTCCATCACATCCCAGGACTCATTCATGCATTCAGACTTTTTATCTCAGAACCAAGAGGCAAAACACAAGCTTGCATTATGAGAGTTAGAGCACACATTACACATCCAAATTCCACAACTTGCCTATTTTACGATACAATGTCTGTGGTGGCCAGGGTAGCACGGTTCGACAGCTTTCTGGCATTTCATCGATGCTGCCATCACAAATCTGTGCCTCTGGATAGAGGGTACACACAGAGTATTTATCTGCAGTGTTTTGAAGATCTGCCATTCGACAAAACTCATCTTCTTCTGCACAACCTAAGAAGAAAAGTCAGAAAGAGTTACACACACACGAGGGTTTCTTCCCCTCTCTGTTCCTCTTCATGCTTTCAGCACACTTAAAGCTATCCATTAGCAAATAAAGTGAGAATGTCAATATTATTCTATTACAATGCAAAAGCAACACGGTCAGATCCTGTTTCTAGTGACACTGAAGGGTAGGCTTACCTGGAGAGCAAAGAAAAGGAGCTACACCACAGCTAACTGGAAATTAGCCTAGTGTATTGGTGTCGCTCTAACACTGTCATTCATAAAGATCTCTCTTATTTTCTTTTTAGCAAATTTGACATACAAACTCTATAATCATAAAAGAACTCTGCATCAGTTGTGGGTGTCTTTAAAGAATGAAAAGGACAATAAAGTCTGCAATGTCTTAGAAAGTTTTTGCAAAAAAATATTTCCGAAGCGTTCACTCATCACACAAAACTGCAAACAACTTTTCTAGAATCAACTGCTCAGGCCATTTGCTAGTAGAAATCTGCACTGAAATCTGTCCCAGGGTAATAATGCATCTTCAGAAAAGAAACAAAGCTGTCAATCTCATTACCTAATCACTGTGGCAATGGCTTCTGTAAATATATGCCCCACTGCTTCATTTTAAACATGCATTGCTCTGCTGACCTTTGGCAGTGATGTTTGTGCATGGTTTAGTACTCTTGGCTTGGCTTTTCTGGTAGTCAGAGCTAAAAACTCTTCTCCACTTATCACATCCAAATTTACTCTATCATTAACACCAAATAGCTGTATTTTACCTTCTCCTTTTACCACTATGCCATCTATGTATTTGGAGGGGTACATTTCAAGAAGAGCAGAGTATTCCCTAAGCTGTATCTTCTACTTCTGTTGCCCATAATAGGGATACCCTGACGATGAATGATGTGTACCTTTTTACCAAGGTTGTAAGGAAGAAACAGGTGGTCCAACTGGCAACTTCCTTGAAAAATTTAAAAGTTTTCCCCAAAAAAATCTCTGAATTCAGAGTTTATACTCATAATGACTATAATTACTATTAAAATATATCAATTAATTATTATTCTCTACAGAACAACAGCCTCCAAGATGTCTTACGTGTGAGACACCAAAGCACAGCTTCCTCTGCTGAGTACTTTTGCCTGAAGATCCAATACTGCTGGTAAGGGAGAGAATAGTTCTGGTCACTCTGTATCTGGCTATTGTCCATTAGGTAGAAAAGATCCTTTGTGGAACCTGAGATTCAAACAAATAAACAAACAAACAAACTGCTCAAACCCACAAAAACTTAACTGTGAGCTGGAATAAATTAAATTTATTTACATATAAAATTCTGCCTTTCACAGTAAAACAGCTGCAACCATTTTGTAGGGCTGACATACACCAAAGGCTGCTTTTAATAACAGTTGTCCACACACAGTTATTGCTGCTTGTGCAGGCAATGCCTCCTCACCGAGCTACACTGCACAGTCAGATTATTTCCACCACCCAAAACCTAAATGAAAATCACAGCTCCTAGAAATACAAAGGTTCTCTCTGTCATGCAAAAAACCATCCTAAAAGTGAAGTATAATGCCCCAGAGCATGTTTATGATGCCTTAATCAATCTAGTTTTATTAATCCAAAACACAGCAGTTTCCTTGTATTCCCTTGGGGAGCTTTTATACTCCTCAATGTTAAAAGTTTTCTTAAGAAGCTTAATACCTATTTCAGACATTTAACCTTATTTCTCCTAGTTTATGCTCCCTCAGACCACATTAAATAATTCCTGTCTGTCACCTGCCTGTGATCTTTAGACGTGTATGCAATGATTTATATCTCAAGAACTCCCTCTGAAATAATCACAGCATTTTCAGACTGCTTTCAAATTAATCCCTTTAAATAAGGTTCCAAGTACAATACTGACAGAAATGGACACTCTTCACTGATCTTTTATGAATCTCTTTATAAACACCTTTTTATTTATCAAATACCATCAGCAGACCTCATCCCCAGTTACCACAATATTATGAGAGATTCTGTTATTTAATCTTACATGCAACAGCCAGACAAAAATGAAAATAGGAAAGACATGCTGATGACTGCAGGCAAAATGCTGAAGTACCTACTGACATGCTGAGAGTGCACAATAGCTTTGAATTTTCTATCAGAAAATAGAAAATATATGTTACTATGTGCTTAAATGATGATCACCAAATAATAAAAGCTCTGTAGACATTTTCCCAGATGCAGCCATAATTTTTTTACAAAGGTGACTTATAAGTCTTGTTACCTCTCAAGACTTAAATTCAACCTTCGGTTTCTCTCGAAACAGTGTTTTCATGAGTAAGATGAAGGGATGGAGGAAGAAGCTGCATTCCCTGCATTCCTTGCATAACTTCTGGTTTTAATGATATCATCAGCCACAGCAAAGTAAATGGAGAACCCTGGGGGCTGCACTCATGCCTTGGCAAGTAACAGCCAAAGAATTTCACCCCATGTATTCAGTGTAGGTTTTTTCTCATTTTTAAGTCTAGACTTTAAGATATGACTATATATATAGGAGTGTCACTACCTAGATTGGCATTTTAGTTCATCTTCCATTCAAATTAGATAGACAAAATCAGCAATTCACTTCACGGTAGGATTTTATATGTATTAAATCACACGCTCAGGTATGCACCAAGGCACCTCAGCAAAGGTAACAGTTCATTAAAAATGAACCTAAGTGCTCCCAACAGGCTCCACTGCTTTATTTCTCTTAGGATTATGGTGCTGAAGGCCCAATTGAAATCTAGTAATTTAACACAAATTATTTTGAACATATAAATGACTTAGCATAATGCAGAGCAGACCCTGGAATGACATAGGAGCTAAGGAACTTCACAGGTCTCTCACTTTCATCCTACATGGAAGAAACTTGTGATCGCAGCTTCATCCTGAGTTCCTCTAAGTACCATATTTACAGTCATATTATCAGTAACAGTAAATATGTCTAGGCACCCAGGTTGAGGATTTGATTCCTGAATTTATGCAAAATCTTTCCTAAGCCACATAATATTTCCTGGGTCTTTACAGTTCAGTAAGTCTGAAAGAACAAACACTCAAAGAACATTTTAACACTTTCATTTCCAGCCTGGCCTGGAAAGGAAAAAACCAGAAAGACGGGAAGGTCTTCCCGAAGGCTCACATTTTTAATACCTTTCTCAAAATCTTTATCATGTTCCCTGCCTAAGAGAAATCCTCAGGACTTCACAGTACCTAAATTATTACTACACATATATGGCAATGTATGATATTTTCTGGTTAAATTCTGTACCCCCCCTCTGCTATCTTTCACTACCTCCTTTGTCCACACTTACTATAATACCTGATAACGTTAGATCATTCTCAGTCTTCAAAGCAGTAGCATCACACTCTGAGGATCTAGGCCGGGTGACCATATCGGAGCCTGGAACGCAACAGGAATTAAAGAGCACATACATTCCCTTTATCTTTCTTCCACAAGACAAGATCATCCTTAGTTTCCTACATTTAGCAAATATTTAGGAAAACTCCTTAGGTAGTTCCACCAACTGGCAAATCAAAAATGAGTAAAATCATCTACATGTAACTGTGAAAAACCTAAACTGAACCATGCTGTTTGGAGGATAAAAGCAAACCCCATACCCACAATCACTACGCATTCAGCATCACTGCTCTGGAGGCTGTGTGCATTTATAAAGCAGTATCACAAATCATTTATGCAGGTCCTGCTATGTAAGTTGTGGTGTTCAGAAAGTAAAATCACAAAAACAACACATAGTTGTGATGGTAATAAAAGCATCCCATCCTTTTATGCATAATGTGCCAAATAATTATGGTACCTGGGCACTGATGGAAAAAAGACAAGTGTCTCCATGATACCATTTTTCACAAGTATTAAAAGTTATATAGCATATTCTCAGACACAAGGATTTACCCAAACTTCATTAAACTGACAGTAGCAGAGTTACTCCAGATTACTTCCACCCCTGCCAGAAAAGACTTTCGGAGTGGTGTCTCAATTTGGACAGTGTAAAATGAAGTGAGAATGACACTTCCATTATTGAACACACAGCTGCCACTGCCTACAATTCATCATGAGCTTTTATAACAATTTCTGTGAGATAACTCACCTTTCCACAGATAAACTTGCTGAACAGTAGTAAAATTTCTCTCTGCCTCTTCTGCCAACTGAGAAGCTAATAAAGAAGAAAGTTTTTTAGAACAGCTGCTCAAATTAAACAGTAGTATTGAAATGCTCAGAAACCGAATTAAAAACACATTACTAGACTCTGCACCACCTTATTTACAAGTCCCTAAGGAAGAAGGCACCAGGTGTTCTGGTGCTAGTCTGGGCCCAGGGTACCAAGGCTTTACTCTATTTTCCATCATTGTTGTTTGTTGGGTTTTTTTCTTGGTACAGCTCTGAACATCTATCTTTTTGCATTTGTCCTAGAGTTTATCTTTTTTTCAGATTTTTGGCTTGAATCTGCCTAAATTAAACATTGAAAGTATTACAGGGTAACATACTAAAACTAACATATTCATGACTTTCATTAGTGTTCACACAGTAAATTGTGAGAGGTCTACCTATCTAACAATGCATCCAATTAGGGAGTTCTTAATCTCCTGTGATTGCACACATATGGATTTACTTGAGGAAAAAGCACTGAAGTACAGGAGCAGGCTGGTGGAAAAGGAAGAGTCAGAGGAATTACAGAAAAGTAATGTAAATTGAGATAATTCATTAACATACTTCCACTGAACACTTGTCCTCCCAGGGTGAAGGAAAACTTCTTCTCTTTTTCGTCATAGCTCACACCTTTACATATTCCATCCATGGCAGACATTGGTTTCGGACTCCACGCATTTGCATTGCAGATCAGCACATCTGGGTAGCTCATCAAACTACACAAAATGGTACCTAGGTTCAGGCAAAGAGAGAGTTTCATCACCCCAATAATGCTTGCACTTACAGAGTTTTTCACCCAAGCACCCCAAGTCTTTCTCTAAATGCCAATTGAACCTGTGTCACTGAGATAGATACTCTTTAACACTCCTACCCCTAAAAAAGAAAATCAGAGTCATATGTTCAAATTGGAATACTAAGGTTAGCTATTCCTACCTAAAACAAACATTTGTAGCCTGCTTTTCAGAGATTTCAAGCACATACTATTATCACCTTATGGTTTCCTGGATTGGTGCCTGATTTCAGTCAGCCCAGGCCTGAGTCTCCCCCAGCATCACAGCATGAGGCAGGGGACCAGCAAGCTTAAGGTCAGATTTCTGGTGACAGTCTGTTACCATACCATCCAGACAATACTCAGCTCTTGCTCCGTACTTGCTGTCACAGCTCAGGTATTTCTGTTTTCTGGGTATATGAGATATTGAATATGTTGCACCTTTTTTTTCTTTTTCTTAGCAAAATGCTTTTCCAAGTAATGCATTTACCTGTATTATTGATCCAAGTACATCACTCCAACTAAACGGTGAACTCTACAACATTCACCTTCTCTACAGCCCCTTCTAAGCTACACAATTATGGGGAACCCAAAAATTTGACGGTAAATATATGGAGAATATGCAATGCAAAAAATATGAGATGCCAAAACAGGAAATAATTTCCTGGAAGCATTTGCTTGACAACTAGTACAGAGAAAGCTTTCTCAAATCCAGGATCACTTTCCATTCAAAACTGGAGAAATAGTTGCCACACTGCAGCCAGTAGCACATGCCTGGATTTGAAAGAGCCCTTCTTTAAAAGTCTGAGACATTTCAATTAAAACTTAATGTTTCCTATAGGAAATGCACCTCCAATGGAAGAGTTGATCTTATGTGTGCTTGAACAGAAACTACAAAAAGCAGGGACTGACATTAAGTTCTTAAATTTGCTGTCAGAAATCTCAGCCTAGGTCACACATCTGCCAGACTCTGTCCATCCCACTCCCACTTGCTTTCCTAGTTAGACACCCAGACTTAGGAGAATATAGCACTCCTGCATGCAATAACATAACATAATGCCTTATCTACCATCTGTTTTCCCTGCTCCAAAAAGGGAGCTAGTTTCCATTTCACTAAAAGCACTCTAGAGGCACCATCTTATTTTCCCCACCAGCTGAAAGACACCAACTTCTGGCAATCAAGCTCCATTACATAAGGAGAGAGGTTGTTTCAGAATAATTTCACAGAACCACAGAATCATTAAGGTTGGAAGAGACCTCTAAGATCATCGAGTCCAACCGGCAACATAACACCACCATGGCTACTAAATGTATCCCATCAGATTTATCCCATCGGGGATGTCTAAAGCAGGTCAAAAGAATTATCCTTTCAAAATATTAATTTCTCTCCAAGAGCAGCTTGCCACCTCGGGTCTTTATCTCTACTGCTCAAGGACCAGTCTTGGGCATTACTCAAATTCTACCTACACCAAAATATGTCAGTGATGTAGAGGCAGGCTGCTGTCACTCTGGTATGCTGTGGAGGCAGGTGTATTGTATCCAAAAATGAGTTCTACCCAGTTAGCATTGGTTTTCTACTGCAGAACCTTTTATTTTGCAGTTAGACAATACCTCCATCAAGTGCAATCTGACTCAAGATGAAGCCGTCACAGCAAGAGTCCATGCTGCAAGCCTGACGACAGAAGAGCTGAGTGTCAGTCAGAGATGCACCAGCTGCTGAGAGCACCATGGAGCGATACACACCAGAAATCACGTTCTGAAAACTGGTCCTTTCAAAGTTCTTGTGTCCAGATGAGTTGAATTCTTGTCCTGGGTAGATAGAACAGAAAAGAAATGTTCAGAAGAGCCCAGGAGGAGACAGGATGCTTTTTGATTGGCTGCAGACTGGAGCTGGTTGGAAGTTTTATAGTTAAAAACTCAGCCTTAAAAATCCTTCTCTGGACTTTGAGTTACAAATGCAAGATAAGATCACCAAGTGGTTTGGTGTGATTATACTTAGGTAGTTGGTCAGAATGTATTGCCAGGATAAGAAAAACAGCTCACTATACCAGCAAAGGGCTCCTAAACCTATGTAGACAGTAAGGTTGGTAATATTCACTTTCAAGCACTATTATTAACAGCTCCAAGGTATAAATGAAACAAGCTTGTCTGGTTAAAATAAAGTAAAATGTGTAATTTGGCCAACATAGCTGCATCTGCAATTAGGGCTTCTGCTGACTAGCCACATATGAAAGAGGACACAATTCTGCTGGAGAAAGCAATCAAAATGGCTTACAAAAGCTAATTCCTGATTTCTAGGGAACGAGTCATGAAGGGAAGATTTGGTGAGGTTTCTGCAATATTGCTAAATGTCAAGCTCTGAAATGTATTATGTGTTCTTGAACAAAGATGCTCCACCACGTTTAGTCATGTTCCTATATAGAAGTAACTACAAGACCAAGCACAGCATTAGATAAGCGATTTGCGTCTGGTACCTCTCTTCAAATAGACCATCCCTGCATCTCCCGCTGGGTTCCTGACATGAAGCAGGCAGCTGAGACGACTGACACCAGTGGCAGCGGGGTTCCCCAAAGCACCTTGCACCTGAGACAGAAGAGAGTCATGCACACTAAATACAGCCTAATTGACTTCCTCATCTAAAACACATTTTCCTTATTCAGAAACTCAGAGGGAGGAATTAGCACTCACGGTTTATAACCACCACAGCTCTCTGTGGCCCAGTGTGGACATTTTTTGTTCTATCAAACTGAGATCTTGACTCTTCAAGGCCACATTGCTGTGTTTAAAAGTAGCGATTAGGAAACTGGTACAGCACTTAAGAGCACACAACTCAAACCCTGGGCAAGAGGCAGGGACTGAGGAAATGACGACTGTTTCAAGTGACCTGATTACTGACTTGGATACTTCTAGTTGGGACTATCCAGATGAACTCCCCTTTCAAGTTAACCTGATTTTCAGAGTGTGGGAGTTCAGCATGTTTTAAGAACAAAAGTGCTGCGAGATATTTCAACCAAACACTGAGGCACTCCGGTGTCAGTTTTGGGAACATTTGGGTGTAGCTTCTTCACCAACCTGCAAGAATTTATTACTGCCATAGCAAAGAGCAATGTCCAAGGGGTCAGGTAACAGCCTGCCTTTCTTCTGTGATGCCTTCTACTTATATTGAACCTACAGTATTATGATAGACACATATTTTTAAATATGATAATTTTTACCAATCCAGAGGTGGTGCAGTTGAAGTTGACTTCAGCAGCACTGTATAATTCACACAGAACTTCAGCACCAGCAGGAGTTACAGTGGCAAAACCACATGCTTCTTCCATCTCACAGCCTGAAAACCAGAAAAGCAACCATAGGTTTCCTAGCATTTCATTTGCAAAACTTCTGCTATAAATTCCACTGTTTACAGCCATTTACCTAGTTTTTAATATCTCTATCTGACTGCAAACACATGAATTTCATCAGCCACACAAACTTTAGCATTCAACTATTTTAGTAGAGGGTTAGGTTTTTAAATTAACTTAAATTAATGCAAAAAGTTGCTTGGACATTCATCACCTTTTGATACAAACAGCTGAATAAGGTCTAACCAGGCAGACAAATATTTAATGACTGCTGGATAATTTTGCCTGAGGCAAAATTTCACCTCCTGTTCTAGGAGAGAAGCTGTAGGAGCAAGTTAGTGGTGCGCGTGTAAGGGTTGAAGGATCTTCTACCACCCCTAAATCTGGAGGGGGATGGCTACTTGCTCCTTGACACTGCCCAGGTGATTGCTGCACAGGCAGGCAGCATAATTAAATTATTTTATGTTTCTCTCCTTCCCATCACTCCAACATTTGTCACAACTTGTTTGCCATGTATCAGGCAGATGTGATGTGCAAAGTGGTTCAATGTTTCCAAACAATGTAGCATAAAACCTACCAGCTTAGAACAGGGCATCATCAGAAAGGTAAGCTAAGCTGTTTGACTTTGTTGGGAAGCAGAGAGAGAAGGGTTAACCCTTATTCTTCAGTGAGCATCTCAACAGTAATATTTTGTAATAGTGTTGCCATTTGACAGGGATGCAACTTATCATGAAAATACAGGCTCTGTGCACTTGTATCTTTTGTCAAAGGGGCATCTTTTCCTCCCTAAATTCATCCCCACAGTCCTCTCAGCTCAGCGCTTTGTTTTGAAGGTCTCCAGTTTCAGAGGAAGGTGCAAGCAACCTTGCAGTGTACAGCTAGGGGATTATGCAGTGCAAGAAAATAATCCTAATGTAACACATATATGGCTTCACAGATTCATCTCACAGCATGAGATGACTGCTTCCACCACACCACACCAGGGTGTGTGACACAAAGCCACTGACTTTGTCTGATGTCAGTGGTGTCTGGCCTACAAAACAGGCCACCTGTGTTATTACTGCCAGGTTTTCTTAATTTTGAACATAACTGCTCTGCCTCTATTCACAGAATCACAGAATTATTGAGGCTGGAAAAGACCTCTGAGATCATCAAGTCCAGCCTATGACCTAACACTACTACATTCACTATACCATGGCACTAAGTGCCACATCCGGCCTTTCCTTAAACACCTCCAGGGATGGTGACTCCACCACCTCTCTGGCCAGTCCATTCCAATGCCTGATCACCCTCTCTATGAAAAAGTGCTTTCTAACATCCAGCCTGAACCTCCCCTTGCACAGCTTCAGATTATGCCCTCTCATCTTGTTACCAGTTGCCTGGCAGAAGAGCCTGACCCCCACCTGACTACAGCCTCCCTTCAGGTAGTGGCAGAGAGTGATAAGGTCCCACCGGAGCCTCCTCTTCTCCAGGCTAAACAACCCCAACTCCCTTAGCCTCTCATTATATGCCCTTCCCTCTAGTCCCTTCACCAGCCTCATTGCTCTCTTGTGGATCTGCTCCAGCACTTCAACATCCTTCTTGAAGTGAGGGGCCCAGAACTGTACACAGTACTCAAGGTGAGGCCTCATCAGTGCTCAGTACAAAGGGAGAATTACAACCCTTGTTCTGCCGGCCACACTATCCCTGATACAGGCCAGGATGCCATTGGTTTTCTGGGCCACCTGGGCATGCTGCTGGCTCATGTTCAGCTGATTGTCAACCAGTACTCTCAGGTCCCTCTCTGCTGGGCTGTAGGAGATGCAAGGCAAGGCATTGATTCAAAGCACCCTGAAAGCAGTGCAGTAATTGCGCTTGGGTTTAGATGACTTTAAATCAATATAAACCAGCAAAGATGATGTATTCCGATGAAATACAGTATATAACTCTGTAAGGTTCAACAGAGGGATATCTCCTTATAATACCATTCTGATGTAAGCAAGGATAATTATTCCTCTGATGTGCCAAACAGGTAATTTCGGAAGAGGTGAGAGCTTGGTTTTCACATGTCCTGAATACTTAATCCTTCTTTTGTCTGCATATCTGAAAAGTCTGATGGATGTTTCCTGGTCTGAATCTCAGCTTTCAACCATATTGCAAACTACACCAACTGGCTTTAAAGTCAGATGACTTGTCTAACATGGTACATAAGAGTCAGAAGACTTCTTTCTGAAAGAAAGACTAATCTCTTCCTTCAACCAAGGTCACCAAAAGTTGTAAATATCTTGCAGTGAGTTGGTGCTGAATGGCAAAACATAATTCACCTATGAACTTAACTGTAAGCTCATCATAAGAAAAGATTATTCTTTTCCATGATGATTAGTGCTGTCTCTACAGATTTTCTAAGTTTGCCTTACCTGAAATACACTGAAAAGCTGTACTTTGCAGGTCTCCCCCAGATGACTGAGACTGAAGTATTTGAGCTTCTTCTGACCCATAAATCAGTCTGGAGGTGGGAACTCTCTCAAATTTTCTAAGAACTAAAAACACACAAACAAACAAACAAACCAGGTACTATTATCAGTTCCCATGCTGCAGAGAGACAAAGAGACTTTAGGTAGAAATAACAATTCACAAATTCTGTATGGAAAAAGGTTTGCTCATTAAATCATGTACCATAATTCCACAGATAATACAGGAGACATCTGGACTGAGGATATAATTTCTATTCTGCAAAACACCCCTAAATGACACAAGATCTTTTGAAAACAGCCAGCCAGGTGTGGGCTGGGAGTTTGTATTCCAGTGCAACTTCTCTTCCAGCAGCAGACTGGGCATCTCCCATTACTTGTCCATGGCACAGAACCAACAATTGAGTCAACGAGGGAATGAACTTTCTGCAAAGCAGCCACTGAACCAGCTCCAACATGGTTAGAAAGGAAATGTAGGAGCCTTATCATGTGTTTAAAGCAGCACAACAGCCTGATCTCCACTGACTTCAGGCTCAGGGGTCTATCCAAGTGTCCTACATGCTCCTTTTGGACTCCTTCATTCAGCCTTTAAGTCCAGGCTGCCACTTTCTGTGCCAAACTCTTTTATCTTCTTTCTCTGAATTGAACCCACTGCACCTGAGTGTGAGGATGTCTGACAAGCAGCACTGTTCATGAGCTGCGAAAAGCTCACGGGGTCTAGACATGCAAAACCCAAAGATCACCAAATGAGGCAAGGAATTTAATATAAGGTCCAGAAGATTTGGCCTAGTCTGTGCCCTGAAGATTATAGTTTGGTGAAAGGACAAACTGTGGCACCATCACCACAGCTCAGGTTGCTACTACCTGAATTACAAAGGGTTTTTGGTCCAGTGTGTCCACCAGCTGATATACTAATGTCTTCCAGTGAAGACAGCATATTAAGGAGAAGAGAAGAACATGGTGACTTGGCATCACCCCTGTATTGACCAGATTTGTCTTCTAAATGCCCCAAATGAATGCAAATCTCTGGCTCATCGCAGCCAGTGCCAGGTCTAGACCTAAAAAAGAAGCAGGAGTCCAGGTCTGATCTCAGCCCATGGGAGATGTCTGCATGTGCAGGAGCTGGACGCACGGCCCTTCTCTCCCCTGTGTCCATGGGCATGGAGGATCCCAGGCCTCTGTCCCTGAAATGTCTGGATAAACCACAAAATAAAAGTCAGGGATAAGTTCTTAAAACAATCATTTGTACTCTCACAGTAAAACAGTCAGGACTAAATCAGAAGCAAATGTCCACTGTTGTCAGGGCTGAGTCAGCAGGTGCTTTTGATAAAATCGTCATTTCTGCTCAGAAAAAACATGAGGGCCAGCCAAACGCTTAACACAAAAAAATCCTTGCACTTTGGTTTGGCCAGGGAGAGGGGTGAATGATGGTGTAAACAGAAGTGGATGGTTTTTTCCTTCCTAGAAGTACAAGACACCAAAATATAAGCATTAGCTTAATTCTGCACTAAACCAAACTTCTTCTGCAACTGCAACTTGCAGTGATGTCTGGCTAAAAACAGAATTCATGCACATAAAACTGAAAAGAAGCAGTGTTTTTATGTTGCTTGCAACTGTTTGCTGCCCTCATTTTTAACGCGAAATTGAAAATAAAACCAGACATTTTTAAATACTTTTGTTTCCTTCTATTTTTGTTTGTTTGTTTGTTTTTCGGGGGGGGGGGGTTCACCTAATTCTGGTGTCATTCCATTCCTCTATTTTCTCTGCAATAATATGAGAGAAAAGTAGAGAAGAGAAAGAATGTTTAATGAAACATTAAACTGAAAACATTGTAAAACCAACAGAAAAGATGCCTTTTTAAAATTCTTGAATTTTCTTTTTTTAATATAAATTAAGGAGGAAAAAGGCATTCATAAAGCTACTTCATTAAAAAAAAATAGAATGAAAAATATTCTACCAGCTCCCGTTTCCATGATCTCTTAGTTCACATTTCTCTCTTCTCAACAGAAATATAAATATGCAGCCATTTCACAGGCTTAATGAGTAGCAGAAATGCTCCTTCATCTCACATGTTACTGGAGTAAAGCTCTAGATCCTACCCCTGTAGGAGTAAATGTTAAACATGGCTTAAAATACAACAGCAGAGAGAACAATAAGAATAACCATGCGTTGTTACAGCTAATTACTCTGCATTCATACAAGGAAATTCTTACTCCCACTGCAGCCTCAAAAAACAAAGAGTTCTTTATTGACCCTGCCCAATTGCCAGCCTCCTGACAAAGCAAGGTCAGCCTTCAGACTCTGCTGCCTTGCTGCATGCTGAATTCAGTTAAGGGAAATAAAAGGGGCAGGGGAAAAAATAAAAATAGATATAATTAGTTTCACTTCATATAGTGCTTTCTGGAAACACAGCATGATCTTTAAAAGACAAAAATGAAATTAAATTAGCCTGTAAATTATTTTTAAAAAAGCCACAACCAGACTTCTCTACTGTTTGTTGTTTTTTTAAACCCTTAATTGTCAATACTTATGAATACATAATTTTAGTGAAATCTTCTAGTACGATCCACAAAAATAAGCATAGATATTTACAACTGCTTCATCCTGGACAGTCAGAAATGCTCATGTAGGAGAGCTCATAATAAGTAAGTAACAGGAGATTTAACCTGCTATGAGTCCTCTGATAAAAGAATCATCCCAATTACCCCATAACTGAGAGCAACAGAGGCTACACCTCATGTTCACAACTATGGTCAGACTCTGAGTGTGTCCAGAGTACACTTTTAAATGAAGATCGTTTTTCAACCTCTTCACAACCAAGGACTTTCCTTTCACACTCCTTCCACTGATCGCACTTATCATAAGACACTGTCTAATTTGGAGCATACGCTGACATCAGTTTCTAAACTGAATATTCCATTAAATGCGATACCAATCATATGATGAGTAAGAAAAGCTGCTGGAAAACTATTTTTGGAAAAGGCAAAAGTTCTGGGGCCGAGAAGTGTAATTAGACCTTACTGCAGGTGGTTTGGGCACTGTCTGATGGGTGATTTCTGTGATGCTTCAGTAGCATCTCTGAAGCAGACTCACATATGTGCTTACGTGCATCACACCCGGCTTGCTGAAACTCTGATTTTTTAATCACTCTTATTTTGTATCACTCTTCCTTGGCCTTTTAAAAGATGATCCTCTACCTATCTATTTTATTTCAGTTTGAAGCCAAATCCCACTACTCCACGGGCTTCCCCAGAAGATAAGTATTGATGTATTAAATCAGTAAATACAATTAAACAATTTCTAGAAAAGTCATTGTTATTTTTGTTTTCCAAATTATTCATCCTTGAGAACTGGCATTTCATAACAGAAAGTTAGGAAGCAAGAAGCAGAAGTAAATTCCCCCAGCTTGCAAGGGTATGTTCACCAAGTCAGATACCACAGTTTCAGCAGCAGCCAAGGGTGATGTTATGCCGTGGCTGTGAGATCATTGTCAAGCACAGTCTATTTCATGTGAGAACACTGAAGAGTGATAATTTTACAAGGAAATTCATCATTCTGCTTCTTTCCCATGAGCTATCTCATTATTCTTTTGAGTTTCCAAGCAGAGAGGAGGAGACTAGCATACACTGAAAGCTGTCAGCCATCTGAGAGTGCAAGAAACCCGCTTCCCTCTCCTCTTCACAGGAAATTACTTTCCCAATGTAGTCAAGAGACACAAAACTAAGGAGCAATGTGGCTTAAGGCAGAGGCTACAACTATGGGGAAGTGAATTCCCATAAACCGGCAAGCCAGCTGTGGAGCAATGAGCCTTTTCATAAGGAGGTTTCACTAATGCAAGGTTAAAAAGTCCAAAATATTCATCGGACACTTACCTAGGCACTGGTAGTCTGTAAGGAGATCGTCTGTTTCAGTCCAGTCCAGGGCTGCTCCCAATCTATCGATGCAGAAGGATTTCTCAGTGTCAGGGTCTTGCTGGGAAGGCCTATACTGACCATCTTCATCACACTGCAGACCCTGCTCACCGCTTTGACAGTACGTGATACCTGGTACAAGTAAACAAGAAAGGAAAAAGAGGTACTTTGATAATTCTGTCACTGAATGGTTCTGGTTGGAAGGGACATTTGGAGTGCATCTGGTTCAATCCCTGCTGCTCAAGCAGGGTCACCTAGAGCCATGTCCAGATGCCTATTGGACATCTCCAAGGCTGGAGACTCCACGACCTCCCTGGCCAACCTGTGCCAGTGCTCAGTCACCCGCACAGTAAAAAACTGTTTCCTCATGCTAAGAAGGAATCTCAGTTTGTGCCCATTGCTGCTGGTCCTGTCAATGCAGCAGGACACAAGTGCTCTAAGTACAGCAGAGATTTCACTGAAAATTAATCTATAATTTGTATGGTGTTTCAGTGCTCTGAAAACGGTAGTCTCACTGCTTTGTTGTTACTGTAATTCATATTCCAAACATTTTCAGGATTCTCTGTCATGGATCAGATCTCATCTATCCTAAGTACTGTAAAGCAAACAAATATAGAGAAGGAACTGTATTTTCATACAGGTTTGTTCAGTGCCTGCTGCATTGGATCCATAAAAAGTTATGAACCACAGCACAAGAGCCATCAGAACAACTTGTTAGTTGCTACATGCCCCAACCTTTTTTTATTTCTCCCTTTCAGTGAGAAAGAAAAACTCTTCACACTGCATTCATAAAGAATGAAGAGCTTTGATTTTAATTATCAGCATTTTCCCAACTACTTAACATTTTTAATGATTTAGAAGTCTTTTGAAATCAGGTATCTGGGCTCCACAGAGAAAGAAATCTGGAAATTTGATCAACATCAAAAGGCAGCAGCAGAGAATCCCAGGTGGACTAAGCCTGACAGATCAACCACCTTGATGCCCTCCTCCTGAGGTGCTACTGAAGCAAGCAAGGTTTACCTATGCACAAAGAAACCACCAGAATTTAATCTGAGATATCAAAATGTGACAACATCAGCATCGTTTCAAGTCAGTGCACCAAGCTAGGAGCTAAGGTAGTTTAGGAAATGCTTCCCATGCGGCTCAGCCATCGTTGACACAGAAGCACAACCTCTGGGAAAGAAACAGAGGAAGCAGCAGAGAGGAGAACGCTTCAGCTCTCCAGTTTTCCTGTGCTGTGCTTGTGAGTCAATACTTTGCTTTTTTATTTGGCAGTTAATTCAGCAAAGTCTTCAGGCTTCATAAGGAGACAGCAGCAACTGAAAGAAAGAAGAAAGCTAAATGTGTACAACAGGACTCTTTGGAAAGGGCTGGCACTGGGACTCGGCACACAGGTAAGGTGGAAACCAGGCAGGGAGTAGATTTAATTGCAGGCACTTGCAGTAAAGAAAACTGCAAATGCAGTAAAAAAAACCTAAAGGAGCAAACTTTTAAGCATAGGACTCCAATATCCACACAGGGAACGCGTATGGAAATGAAGAATGACAACCCAATCTAACGTCTTCCTTAGGTAAAAGCTATTTGATGTATTACAATAAACCTGGTTTATTTAATCCCAGTTAAGAAAATAAATAGGTTGAAAGAGAACATAGCAGTCCCCACACTCACTAATACTTCCAGGAAACTAATTTTCACTACTCACTTTTATTTTTATCCATGAGCTAATTCTGCAGACAAAACTGAATTTATAAGTGATTTTCTGCATGCAAAAATAAGTCATTTAAGCTGAATACACCAACTTTAGTGAACATATTGACAGTTGCTTTGTGAAAAGTATTTTTATTTGCAGGGGAAAGAGCTGCACAAAGACAAGACTACTTTAGCATTCATGAAAGTGCCAATAAATGAACTATGCAAGATGTTTCTCACTGATACTGAATATGCAGATATCATTCCTGAGGACAATGAACATGTCTTAAGGAACCACAGCATCCGGGATGAGACTGACCACTCATTTCTCATGCATTTTTGGTCAAAACACCAGACAGTTTGTTCTGTCTTTGTAAAACGTCATTGAATGTATGCAGAAGGGATCATATGCATCCAAAAAACCCCAGAGGGAGGATCTTCTTTTCTTTTTTTTTTTAAACTTACAGATGAAAAAAATATTCTATTAGTTATTTGAAGTCAGAACACAAAGGATAAAGGAAAAAATTACTTCAACTTACAGTGATCAGCGCTGAATGCCCCATAGGAGTTGGTCGTTTTGCCCACAGGACACTTGATACAGGAGGAACGTCCTGTCTGATGCTGATAGTAGCCAAGAGGGCAGGGAATGCATTCATCATTCTGGAAATGACTGCCCGGAGGACAAACAACTGCAAAGAGAACAAGCACCTTATTGCTCTTTTTGGAATCCAAAAGAGTTCAGGCATTTGCACACATCTGTGTGGGTGTATATATATACATATATATATGTATATATCTCATGCTGGTAGACTTTCCATAGGCTTCAAGCTCTTACTATATGTACTTCTAAGTGGCATAGCAGAGGTAAACACTCCTTCAATGCTCATTAAACTCACCAATGACTGGATTATAGACAGTGTTTTCTTCTTTTTTTCTCAGATCACCTTAAAAATGTTCTCAAATTTGTACACATCAAGCTCTTCAGAAATGTCAAGTCCAGGCCTGATTTCCATATGTCAAATACATTTGTAAGAAGATAATGCACTTTGCAGATAGGTTGTGAAAGAAAACAAAGGAACACAAGGTACAAACTGAGTAACTTCTAACACTATGGACAGAAAAAGGAAAACTCCTAGGGGTAGAAAGTCCAAAAATACCATACAGAAACCCACCATATGGTAACATTTTCATTCAGAATTCCTGGTAATGAAATTTTCGGTAAGCACTTCCAAACTAAACAGTAACAGTTGGATTAAAAGTCACTAGTTGTGCACATGACAACCCAAACACAAAACAAAAAGATACTCTTAGTCTGCATATATATCATTTTCAGAACAAATTGAGAGTATTTTTTCCAGCTGACCTGGGGCACATTATACAGAAAATTCTTTGTCTTCTGGGAGGTCATGAAATCTTGTCTTTCCCTCCAGATCATCCAAATGAACCTTAAAGCAGAAGAGTCGCAGACACATTTGCAGGACAATACCTTTACTTATTATTTCACAGCTGCTTTCCAGATGTAGATTTCCTTCAAAACACTATCAAATGTATATTTTGGGACTTTGACAAGGTGCAAAACTTTATTTCTGGTCTTGCCCTATGTCTTGGCGGCAGTTTAAGCTTGTATGAGACAGAAACAGTAATGGAAAATTGGCCATCCCCACTACAACCCATATGATGAATTGCTGTTCTGGCCAACACACCGGAATGTAAATTAATTTAACTTACAGGAGCACCTAAATTATAATAGATTAAAAAGACAACTAGTGTAAAAGTGATCATATCTGCCTTCATCTGCTCTAAATGATTCCACAGGAAGGTCTAGGATGAGACAACTGTGAGATTGAAGTTTTCCTCCCAAGTACATATCAAGGCAAGTACTCTGGGTATTACACATATCTAAAATCAATTACAGAACAAAAAAAATCCTGGATCAGACAGAATTCTCCTTTCTCAAGCACATTATTTAATACACAAGAGTGTCTGATGCATTTCAAAGATATTTTCCAACACATGCAAAAGGGATCATACTCATTACAAATGAACAACAGTAGAAATTAAAGTGAAATGAGTAATCCATGCCTAAATTGAAGACAAAATGCAAAGGATGAGGGATACTCATTAAGAATTAAAGTTCAAAAAGGAACAAATTAAGCTCTTCAAAGCATTCTCCTGGTTTTGTAGTTTTAGTCACGATGTGAAAGTAACATCTGTGTCTCCTATCACATTTTAAGAACGTAAAATTGCCTTTTGTCTCACACTTTAGATTAAATAACAAATAACAGCCAAAAATGTTGGTGCAGAGACACGTTTCCTAGACTCTGTAACTCTTGGAGACACGTATCATTTCAGCTATACATTACAGTCGACACAATCACATAAAGGTTAAATTTGATTCATTCTCATTACCAATACAGGCTAGGAGATGATGTGCTGGAAAGCAGCCCTGAGGAAAAGGACTTGGTGGTACTGGTGGATGAGAAGCTGAACATGAGCCGCCAATGTGCATCTGCAGGCTCCTGGGCTGCATCAAAAGCAGCATGTCCAGCAGATCAAGGGAGGTGATTCTACCCCTCTACTCTGCTCTGGTGAGACCTTACCTGCAGTACTGTGTTCAGTGTTGGAGTCCTCAACACAAAAAGAACATTGAAGTACTGGAGTGGGTCCAGAGGAGGGCCACAGAGATGATCAGAGGCTGGAGCACCTCTCCTACAGAGACAGGCTGAGAGAGTTGGGATTGTTCAGCCTGGAGAAGAGAAGGCTCCAGGCAGACGTTATAGAGACGTTCCAGTACCTGAGAGGTGCCTATAAGCAATCTGGGTAAGAACTGTTTACAAGGTCATGTAGCAATAGGACGAGGGGTAATGGTTTTAAACTAGTAAAGGCTAAATTTAGGTTGGATATTAGGAAAAAGTTCTTCAATATGAGGGTGGTAGATCACTGGAACAGGTTGCCCAGAGAGGTGGTGGAGGCCCCATCCCCAGAGATATTCAAGGTCAGGCTTGATGGGACTCTGAGCAACCTGATCTGGTAACATTGTCCCTGCTCACTGCAGGGGGGATTGGACTGGATGAGCTTTAAAGGTCCCTTCCAACCCAATACATTCTATGACTCTGTGAAGTCAGATAAACCATCGTATTGTACTTCTTTCAAGCTTTAACATTCATACATCTTAACAATATAAGAAACTAGAGAACAGCTTTGAGCCAAAATCTCAGAGCTAAGTCTTAGCACTGAGCCCAAACTTTGTATCCCTAAAATGGGATGGAGGGGGGGAATAAATTTATGATTTTAATATATATTTATATATATATGCAGTTTCTAACCTGGTCTCACTTCTAACCAGACTCCGGAGTGACTCTGTGCAGAGGTACCACGCCTCACAGTACCTCCTTTTACTTCAGACCAGCTCTCACTGCACTAAGCATGTTTCAAAACTGCCAGAACCAAACATTACCCAATGCTTGCACTGCTCTTTCCTCCCTCCAGAGATACTGGAAAACTTTTAGGATATCAGATTTTTGATCTAGATTATTAGAAATTAAGTCTTGAGCTGCCAGCTCAGCTATAAATCTAGCACTTTATTTGATTTGGGTAATGCTCTGCTCAAAGCAACTCTGATAGAATTGCCAAGCATTCTAAATAATAAAAGGAACCAGCATAAAAATGTATAATAAAACAAAGATAACTCACAAACAGGATTCAGGTTTTCTCCTGAAATAAATGGTTGGATTCATATAGCTGTCTCCTGGACAGTTTCCAACCCTCTTCTTTTTGACTCACACCTTAGCAAAGAAAGTGTCTTTTGTCCCTTTAAAACTTAGCTAAAATAGAACTGTAGCCTTGGACTCTTAAGGAATTACATTCATAAATACCTGTGGAGTAAGGTAACTCAGTGCAAGACTAAGAAAAAAAAAAGTCACATAAGAAAAAATGTACATATGATAAATGTTAGCCATTTTACAGGCAGAAAAACATGGAACAAAACTACAATACATCTGAACCAAAAGAAGCAGACGACTGTAAGGAAAATACATGAGATGAAGAGGCAGGTTCATGCAAGCTGCATGTTCTTAAATGAAAATATTACATTTACAGAGATCTACACCAGAAAGCAGCCACTACTAAGACCTAGCTGCCCATGCTTCCTGATGCAAGGGGAACTATCACTTACAGTGAAATAAAAACAAACCAATCAGTTAGATCAGGATCTGAAAAGACAATTTGTGTTTCAACAATAAGGTAGAATGGGATAGGGAAGAGAATAAAGAAAGAAGGCCTGTCACCCTCATAGAACTTTGATTACGGCAATCACAGGTGATGCTTCTTACTACTAGCCCCAATTATTAGTAGATAAAGAGACTCAGGAGAAATGACCAGAATATATCCACAATACAAAATAAAACTACATACAAATATACATTTATAACTATATATGTACATCTATATAAATATATATCTACATATATATATATCTTAGAGAAACCAGAAACAGAATTCCTAAAGTCCCTGTTTAGAACAAAATATGCAGTCCTACTATACATACCAGTGTGAAGTGTGTATACCATGACATCTTAGAATAAAAAAAAATTAGCTCTGTCAAAAGCTGAAGCAAAAACTGTCTCCTTTTCACATCTCTATGACAAATTTGTTTTATTGAGTGACTTTTCCTATAGTTAGCTGGTTCAAATATGCATGAACTAACTCACAAGGTGAATTAATTCACAGCACCCCAAAGGCCTTTATCCTTGGCAGGAAACATTCGGCAGAAAGATCCAATTCTTTTTAAGTTGTTCTGCTCTAAGAGATGGACTCTATAAACACCATCTTTAATCAGTACAACTGTACATCTTGTTAAGCAACTGCAAGTTGTTATTGACTCCAGATTCTCAGTAGGAATTAATCTTTTTTTGTGCATGGTGTATTTAAATAACCAGAATCTGAAGTGTTTCAGACTATGGAGATGAACTGAACCTGCAGACAATTTACCCTTAAAGGTCCAAGCTGGAAATTGCAGCAGTTCAGAACTAACTCATCACTTGGTTACTTTGAAGTCCTTGCCCAGGCATTACGAAATTCTCCTAACTTGAAGAGGACCACCATACCAAGCAGGGAGCTACATTGTTTTAATGTATTTTGTTTTGCTTTTAGGGTCTCTAACTGAATCATAGAATCACAGAATGGTTTAGGTTGGAAGGGACCATAAAGATCATCCAGTCCAACACCTGCCATGGGCAGGGACACCTCCCACCAGACCAGGCTGCTGAAAGCCCTGCCCAACCTGGCCTTGAACACTGAATATTGTTGAAGCTTTCCCATCTGAAAATACATGGGAAAAATTATTCAATACCTGCTACTGTTGGTCTTATACCTAGAAATGGTACATCCCCACTCTGTTCCCAAAAAAAAAAACTCGACACAGTGAATACATCCCAAACTGTCATAAGTCACAGACTCACTGAGGATAATCAGGGCAACGAGAATGATGAGGGTTGCACTGTGGGAGGGCTGATTTTGGTAGAAAGAAGAGTGGGGCTGTTAATGCAAAGCCTCTTTGGCAGCACGACGCAGTGCACAGGAGTGCTAGGCACAGCCGCGGTGATCCACCAAAAAGGTAGGTTTGGCAGCCCTAAGTAGGATGTTGGCAGAAAGGCAGCCTGCTCCAGGGAGGCAGACTAAACAGAAGGAAAGAAGATGAAAAGAGAGCAGAAGTGCAGTCAGGTCTGGGTGTTGGCCAACACCGAGAAAGCTTCCACCTGAGCTGGCTGGACATGACCCAAGAATTCACAATCTTAGGACTTCCGAGATCCAGGTTTCTATTCTGGGTAAGGTATCATCATCTGAAGCACTGGCTACATTATCTTTGTGAAATCTTCTTATTAAGGATCAGGTATATTACAGAAAGACCTTCTAAGACAAGATAGATCCAAAAAATCCCTGAAAATGTTTGCAAAACCTTCTATACTATGTCAGTGCCATGATGCCTATTTCCAAATTATTGGTTCGACACAAGGACTGAACAGTAAGCAATGCACTAATTCTCATCAGAGTTATCACTCACATTGGTGCTTTATGCCTTTCACATACTAACCATAAACACAAGTCCACTGGGGATTTTTCTAACTTCAGCTTTATACTGATTCCTAATAACATCAAGGAAAGGAAAGCAAAACTGAGACATACCACAGCCTTGTGAATTTGGGACTGCTTTCCCAGGAGATGAAGTTCTTCGAAACCCACTTCTACATCCTAGCTGCACACTCGGAGACAGATCAAACTCTTCATCCCGGAGAAAATCAATGAAAGAGTCAGCTAGGAATTGCTTGGAGTCCAAATACAGCAGAAAATCACCATCCTTAATCTCTTTTATAAATGCTCCAATCAGATTTTCTCCAACAACTGCATTTTCTGAAGTGGGAAGAAGTATAACAAAATAGCATGAAAGAGATTTCCAATATGGGACTGGATAACCACATGCAAACTGATGAACTTTAAGGTAAAAACATAGGTAGACAGAGAAATACAAGCATGTTAGCAAATAGCAGACAAGAATGAATCTGTACATCATCTATCAGATTAAAGTCCTAACGTCAATATATGTAGAGGGTGTTAAAGAAACAGGAAAAAAAAATACAAACAGCAAAAATAGCATATTCAAAAATTAAAGCATCAGAGAACAAAACTTGATTTCTGAGTTGCGAAAATTCAGCAGATGAAAATCAGGATTATCTGACCTTCAGATTTAAATTATTCCTGTTTTTTTTCATTGAGTATCATTTGCATATTTTTCAGCATTTTCTTCGAAATTCACAATTGCTGAAATTGGTGTTTAAAACTGGAAAACAGTGAATACCTTTCCTGCTCTGTATATTCTTAGTTGCCCAGATACCTTCTCTCGCGATGATTTGTGCAAGGACAATTTACAGTGCTCAATCAAGAGTGAGTTCCCCAGTTTAGCTGGACCAGAAGTACCATAAGAACAGTGTTCCCAGCAGATTTTATTTGCTATTACATTCTTTTTATCCCTGCAGGCTTTATGGCATTGGATGAAATGCTGACCTTGTTTACTGCTTCAAATTTGCAAGCCAAGGCCCTCCAGTAGCTACAGGTGATGGGCAGCCCCATAACACAGCAAATGAGAAGTCCTGCACACTTACGTACTTTGAGTTTCACGAGTACACCAATGACCTCAGATGTGGAATTTTCACAGGGAGGATTTTATATACATAGAGAGAGCATGAGGAATGTTACAGCTGACACACTGTACAAAGATTATTATTTTTTAACTGATGTGTCCAAGACAAATAGCTGAGGGTACTGCTGCCTTCTTACATGGTGACTTTCCCAACTTTCTCATAGTCACAATGCTCTGCTTCCAGCTTTGAGCAACCTGTCCTTCTGCTGCACTGGCACATAGTATAATCAACAAAATAGCACTTATTTTGGTTCAACCCCAGGCCAAAATGATACTTAATGTGCAAGGAAGTAGAGATCACCACATAACCAACAACACTTTGCAAATGTTTTGCCAGAAATTGTCTCATTATTGAAAACAGGAATAAACAGATTAACCTTTTATTCAAGCAAATACCCTTTCGAATTGTCTAGTGACTAGCTGTAGCAGAATTAAAAATAACCTTGAAACATAACCTGACAGCTGGAGGGAATTCACATGTAGAAAAGAAGCAAACAGTCAAATCAGTAAGAATCCACCTAGGACTGCTGAATTTCCTTTAGTCTAAAATGTTCTCAACACTATTGCTAAATGTGACCCTCCTATGACCACGCTACCTACCCTTGCATATATGGTATCCTTTACATTCAGAGTACATAAACAAGTGTTTAACTGTAGTATACGTGTTGATGCTTTGCAAATAGACATGTAACAGCTCAACAGAGAGTAAACCAGTGCCTGCCAGCCACAGACTCACTGGGAATGTCTTACAGGAGCTGCTTTGGTGCAGCCCCTCTAGCACCGCCGGCCAGCGTGGGGCCACACTTCCCTGCTGGTCCAAGACAAGCTTCTCAGGACCTTCAGCATGCTCCAAAGCATGGCAGGTACAACAGTATCTGGTTTTGCTTCCCTGGTTTTGCTCGTGTTCTGCTGCACTATTTTGGAAATTCAAACTACTATGCATCTCATACTTTGTCAGATTTACTGTAAGTTTGTACTAAGCATTTATCCAGAGCCTGGTATACCTTTAGAGACCTGGACTTCTGGGGGGAACAATACATCTTTTCACATAAAGAAATAACCTGCAAATAGCTGTATCCTGTGTTGTGCAATGGGAATAAATCCGATTTAGGGTTTGCTCCTGTGGTAAACACCAATTTTAATGTGAAAGGAATCATACCGTTACCCAGAGTTTATATTGGCCAATGAGAAAGTGAGAGAAAAGATTCAAAAGAAGTTTTTTTTTTTAAAAAAAGAAAATACAAAGCACAAAGACACATCTTAAAATATCAGTTGCACAGAGCAGGGATTGATTTTTTCTGATCTCAAACATGGGAACTGTTTACTGTATGTTCACCGACTAAAAGCTCATTTTCATAACCATTGATATTTTTGCCTGTTGAACAGAAAAGAGAGAAGTTGCTCCAAGTGTTCCTCACTATTTTAGAGCTGAAGCCTAAGCTACAAAGCCAAATGGCATAAAATCCTTCAGGAAAGGGATTTGCACAGCCTTCGAATTTAATACATGAAAATATCTGCAAGAAAATAAGTAATGAAGCATTCATGAGTGATTTAGGTTTGAGGCTCTTCATTGGGAACATATGCAGGCTGCGCTTCTGTTTAGCGATTTTTTTCTCAGCTACTTCAAGAGCAAGACTTCCCATTTACCCATGAAGAAGCTACAAAAAGAACAAAGCTATTTTAGTAATGTAGATTTTCAAATCAGAGAACCAATTTGCTGTGTAAATACACCAGAAAACACCTCAAACAGAAAGACTCAAAGATGCCGTAGAAGATGATGGAAGGTGATGGTGCCAGGAGGATACAGGGTGCAGGTTCCCAGTTGTCTGATCTCCCCAGACCAGACTCATACTGCCTCTTCTGAAACCATACACTCATTTCCTGAAAAGCAATTTTAGTACAAGGGGAAATTATAGTGAGGAGAGGGTCAAAAATGTTGTCCTGTTTTGAGCTAAATAGAACTGATTTTCTATTTAGTGATTTTCCTTTTCAGCTCAGTCTCTTTCAAGTGGCTGAATTTGCTGAAAGCTAGCAGAATGCTTTTCCCAGACAGTGTGTACTGATACTGTTCAAGGCCAATTGCCTCACCGTGGGTGCCATGTCTGCACCTACGGGGTGGGGGGAGAGCAGACCCAAAACTGACCACCTATGTATTCCATCCCACATACATCATACTCTGTATAAAAGCTGAGGGATCACAAGGGTCTTGACCCTTCTTCCATCTTGGAGCCTTTCCATCTCAGACTTTTCTGTTCATCTCGATCCTGCAGTGGCCGAGGTCCAAGCAGAACCCTGCTGGTTCATCTGCCTCTGATCCTGATTCGTGTGTTCTGCATCCTGCTCCCACTGCTGCTGAGTTTGGTCTGGGACTCCTCCAGTGCCCGGCTCCGCAGAGCCTTTGGTGATGTATACGTCATTGGGGGAGGGTAGGGGGAGGATTTTATCCTGGTTTTGTATATATGCATTTGTACATATTTGTATCTATTTCATTATTTTCCTATTTACATTATTATCTTGTAGTATTAGTATTATTGTTTTATTAAATCTGTTAGTTTTATTTTCCAACCTATGAAGTCTCTCTCCCTTATTGTCTTTTCTCTTCCCTTCTGAGGAGGGGAGAGTGATTAAGAGAGAGCATCTGTCCAGGATTTAGTGGGCAGCCCAGCCCTAAACCACGACAAATGTAATGCCCTCAAAGCAGAACACTTTCAAAAGTGAAGTTTAATATAAAACAAAAACACTTATACTTTGATCCACTTTCTGCAAACTGCTTGAATATTCATGTTTCCCTTATAATCTGGAGCAAGTGAATGGATGTAAAAACAAACAAATTGTAAAGCCAGGAGTCACACAACCACTGCAGCCACTGTCTGTGACGTGAAGGCTTTTGAACTCAGTTCTGATCAGTAGGGCACACGTCTCCAAGTCCCAGAGTTAGAGGGAAGGACACGTGCAGGCAGAGTTATTTATATTTAGTGCTAGGAACACCACTGCAAAGCAGTAAAACTGCAGAAAAGCTGGCACAGAGGGCATTGGAACTTTCAAATCTCTTATTTTAAAGGGAACTACTGCTTTCAGAGAAGTTCCTCACAGCATCCCTAACTTGCTTGGAAATCACAGCAAAGATCTGCCAGTCAGTGGTCTTTGCAGCATTGCTCTAGGATGTCTGAGGTAAGGGTCATCCTTTTATGTCAAAGGGAATATAATAAATAGAAAAAGAGGAAAAGGAAAGAAAAGGAGAGAAAAAAAACAACCTTGGAACAAATTGGTTATATTTTTGGCAACATGTGAATTGCGTTTCTCTGAGTCCAGCTCCATAAGGAACACAATCTTCTCCACCACTGATGATCTGCCCAGTGGAAATTAACATCTGGGACAGTTCAGCACATGCCCGATAAAGTACTTTTCAATCTCAGTTAAGGAAGCTGCAAGAGGCAGTCCTATCTGAAAGAAACATTCAATTATAGCTCCTTTCCACTTTGCAGTCCCAGCCTGAAAAGAGAAATATATCACCAACAAAAGCTCAAAAACACAGCTCCAGTGTTATAAAGACAATTTCAGTGTGCATTTATAATACCTTGTTAGTGTCTCCTAAGAGCAGACACAGGAAAACAAAACAATTAAAAGCAAAGCAGGTTTAATTCACAGAAATATCAGAGGGGAAAAATAAATAAAATTACCAATATCATGTAAATCAGGGAGTGAAGCTGCAGGGATGTTTTCCATCTGAGCCCTCCACGTGACATTCACCCCCAGGCGGTCCACGCTCAGGCATTCAACATAGACAGTGGCATCATCACAGGCAGAAACCGAAGCAGTATTTCCAAAGGCATTTACCTCGAATTCAAAATTAAATGAAATCATGGTTAGTCAACCTGAGAACTTTCCAGTTCTTGCCTTCTCTTATTCATTTGCACTGTGTAATGCTCAAAAGAAAATTTTTCAAAAAAGCCTGTACAAATAGAAGCAGAAAAAGAAAATCTTAGCCTGTTTGAACAGTCAAAACGTTCTCTTCCATCAAAACATATTTTTTAATAAATATTGGACTGATGTGATATGGCTTCTATGGCTACAATTAAGCTGATCTGCCAATATGGGGTCAGTGAGACTAAACACCCTATTTTCGCAGTCATCCACATAGGATTGATGCCAATTCTGACAGATTTCATGGCATGTTCTGCTCCTCCACTTCTGTCAAACAGGCAAAGTTCTACTTTGTGTCTCACCTTTTTTTTCCAGTACAAATAACCTCAACCAACAAAAAAAAATCCACAACAAAAAAACCCCAAACAACAACAGCGAATAAGAAATTGAAATTACCTGAAGGTGACATAAACCATGAGCCTTCAACTCATCCAGAATAAATATCTGGAATGCCTGGAGTAATCCAGAGTAGTCAGAGCTACAAGTCTTCTCAGCAGGCAGTAGTAGTTGAAAGTGTGTTTGAGCTTGGACTGTCTGAAATAATTGGAGCTCTAAAAGTTAAGGAGAAAGGGCATTTAGTAGCCTCACTAATGTAGAAGCTGACTTTCAAAGTTACTTTGAGAAAAGACAACACTGATCTGGCATTTTGGTCTTGCATCAATAGCATCTCCTCATTTCGAGGTGAAAGCAGTGGAGTTGTCAGTAGTAAATAATAAGCAGCAAGAGATATGCTTGATAAATACATATGCTGTATATTAGGGAAAAAGCCAAGCCAGGTGATATAGTTATTTAATAATAAAGAGATATTTTACACTGGATCACTAATCTACAGAAGAATAAGTAACGATCTGGATTATAAATGATGATTTTTCAGAAGCTTTAGCCAATGCTTAGAAAAGAAAGAGGAAGAGAGGAATTATTGACCTGTGAACCTCTGCTTCCCTCAAGACAAAATCATTAAAAGACTCCTATTAAAAAAGTAATTAAATTATTAAAGCAATTGATACTAATTCAAATGAGCTTTCAGAATCCTAGCTTGCCAAATTAACTGGCAATCAAGTTTTAGGAAAGAATAAATCTGATTGTCCACTGATGTGGACATCTACAATGGCCCTCCAATTTTTTGATAGCAAACCAAAGTGACACAAATCACACAAATCTATGAGAAATCCATGAGCTCATCAGTCACACAGTGAAAATCTATTTATCCAGTTTTAGGACAGAAAAACAAAGTTGCAAATTTCTTGTCTTCACAGGAATCATGCTGAGCCCAGGCTTCACAGAGTGTTTGTTATCCGAAATTCAGTGGTGATGCTGTCATGCCACCTCCAAACGGAGCTGGCTTTTATCCCACCAGCCTGGACAAGGCAGAGCTCTGCCTCAATCAACAACTCCACAGACCCTCGCTGCATCACGTACAAGTGTCACTGCTGAAGTACAATCCCCCATCCCAGCATGGAAAAAAAGGGGCACAAACCCCTCTATCAGAGACTACTTAAGAGCTGACTTAATCACAGTCTTTAAGTGTACACATATAGAATGGGAAATAAGATTTTTAAGAGTGTGTGTAATTATCCATTGAACAAATTACTAAATGTTGTGATGAATTCTCCATTATCATGAAGTTTATTCAATCACCTTCTGATGTGTTGGAAATGCTTTCTCGCTCCTTAAAACCATGCTGTGCTTCAAACATAAATTAATGGGAAAGTCCTTCGCTTGCATTAAACAGCAGCTTGTACCAGATTGCCACACACTCCCCTCTGTCCTCACAGTCATACAACTGCTACCAGGCAAACAATAAAGTTACTTCATAACACGCTACAGAAACCTAGCAAACATGACTACAGACAGACAAAACTATCTGAAACGTAAAGCTTAAAATCATTTACATTTGGAATAGAAGACCTGGGGTACGACTGGAAATGTGTCAATACAGGGGTTTCCAGACTGAGTTTAAACCCATTCTGGAGATGAAGATTAGCTGCGAACTTGGCATCAAGTTCTGCATTTCTCAAAGTTCAGCACTGCTACAAATTGCAATTTTGATCAGAATGTGTTCAATCAATAATTTGAATATTGAAATAATTTGAAATAGTTGAAAAGGCCAACATTAGCATCTAACTACATAAGTTCTGAAGAGACAACTGATTCTTCCAAGATTTCAAGTGCCATTTCTTTTCTTGAAGGAAAAATTATTTGAAAAATACCACAAGCCAGCCAACAAAGACAGCAATAATCCTAAAGAGCAGACTGCTGCAAAAAGAGGCAGAAGTAACAGTGACTTGATTATGCAAATAAACAGTGAAGTTCTGCCAAATTCAAACATCTGGCGCTCATCTGTTCTTCCAGGACTAAGTGGTTCCATCAGAATCACTTCATGGTGCCAGCATCTTTTAACTAACAAAGAAAAATCTGCATATAGATTGAATAACTATTTATAGCTACATTATTATGGAAAGGCAGGACTGTATCTGGCACAGGAGCCAGACAAGAGACAGCGATGAAGATAGCAGAAGACAGGACTAATGTACTGCATCTCAATTTAGCAACTCCCACGTACATGTTATGTACTGTCAATCACATGGTATCTTCACAATGAAAGTGCATTTCTATACATCTGTTTACATTGCTCTGTGCCTTCCCCAACCCCCAGCAGATCAGACATACTCTGGCAGGCCTGGTAGAGCGGGGCAGCCGAGACCCATCGATGCCGTTGCACATCACACTGGAAGGACGTGGTGGAGGCGGCGCTGTGGAAGCCCTGGCGACACACCAGCCAGCACTGCTGAACGCTCGAAGGCTGCCCAGAAACATTTTCACAAAATACAGCTCCGTTGAGAGCAGATGAGGCCCCGAATGGCAGAGCACACTGTGGACCTTTAGGCACATGAGAAAGGGTATGTATTAGTGGCACACTGTGACGCCTTTCTAGTCAAAAAGTCCACGTAACCCTCGTATCAACAGAGAAAACCTAGACAGCGCCCTGTGCCTTTCCCACTCAGCTCAACTTGGATCTGTTTTGATGTCAGCATGGTTCAGTTTACTAAAGCTGATGAAAAGACACATATTGACTCTGATGGGTAATGTATTGGGTCCAGAAACATACGTGTATGGCTTCTAAGAGCAGATAAGTTTAAAACAGTCCTGAATAAATTTAAGCAGGAAATGAGAAGAAGGTTTCTAACCATCAGCAGAACAAGCCCTTACAAAAGATAGACAGTGGCAGAGCTAAAGAAAATAAAATCTCAATTCCTTTTAGAGTGAACTTTGAAAACTTTAAGATCAGGAGCTCATGACTATGGTATCTTCAACAGCAGCAGGATGCTACTGGTGACCCCGCAGGTCCTCAACTAAAGTATATGGCTTTGGAGTTAGAGCACAAATCTCATTCTATCAGTGCACATCAATACACCCATGTCAACCCTGCTAGCCCACTGTAACAGACCATTATAGCAAGCTAACAACAATGATAATTAATCTGTACTTATCAGCACAAACAAACTGCTTCACTCAATATTAGCCAAATCCCAACCTAATTACTGAATATATTTAGAAATAATAAAACATTTCTAAGTTCTAGAGGTACAAAACATAGGAAATAAAAAAACAACTTCCTCACTTAGAAATAAATATAAAGAAAAAGCGGTTCTCATTTCATGCAGTTCACTTGTTTGGTGTACGTACAGATACTTTTCCAAATAACAATGCTCAGACCAGTCCCTGTCTGCCCAGGAGGAAGGCAAACACTGCTGATAGCTCAGGACTGAGCAGCCTTTCTCTGCCCTTCTGATGGAGATATGGAGATTAACTCCTTAGCTTAGCGGCTGTTTCAGTTAAAGCCTAAAACATTGCAGGATGAATGTGAGATCCAGCATGCACAGTATGTATTTGTTTTCCAACCCTGAACATTACAATGTCAAAATAGAAGCTTTTGTATCTGTCTTTCTGAATTGCCAGATGCATTTTTTCCCCCAGGTCTCCTTTATAGCATCTTTTCTGCAATAACTGTTAACGGGGCCACTACATTCCTCCTTTTCACTCATTGACTCTGTTTCTAGACTCTTTTTCAGTAAAGTTGGAAACCTGGCATCCATGCTTTTAATAAATTTCTGATATTTGAGGACCAAAAGTTGTCACTGTAAAAGACAGCATAATACTTATCCTGACCCATGTAAACTACATCCGTCCCTACGTGTAAATTGTATTAATATTTCTTAATATGAAGTACACAAAAATCAGTCTGTGGTCTCTTTATTGCTCTAACACATTTCAATATCCAGCAAGTCAAATCCAGTCTCAACCGTATGCTGCTACCATTTTTTACCATCTGTTCCAGTGAGGGTTGCTGTGTGAACCAGAGAAATAACCAGCCCCTAAAACATGAGGGATGGATGGCTTCCTGGCACAGCTCACAGGTTTCAGTTCGCAATCAGTAATTTGCTCATCTATCCCTCTACAGATGTTATCTCATATACTATCGTTATTAAGTCTGTCCCATTTTATCATTCTTCTATTTCTGCCCCAATTTATCACTCCCGTAGGAGTGAATCAGAATGCAGCTGAATATTCATTTTTCATAGGCGTTTCTAAAGATTTCCATAAGGAAATTACTGTTTCTAGGACCTTCTCTGGAAGGCTTTATCCCCTCTGTCTCCACTCAGAGGCATGGAAAGTGGGCATAAGGATGGGACATACACGTGAGGAATGCTAGGATACTTGGCATCATCTCTTTGGTGCATGTCAACTAGAAAAAGTTGGATTCTACCTCTGATGGAAATGATTAAGCTAATGAAAACCTTATTGCATGCACTGGGCACTGTGAAGTTATTACTTGCTGTTTACAGCTGTCTGTTCTGATGTTGGAGGAGAAGTTTATCATATTTTCCCACCACAATAGCTTTTTTTGCTGATAGACAAGATCTTGGATCTTGGAAGATAGAGAGATAGTACTCCCTTACCTTTTTCATGAATAATTAGTAGTGCCCAGGACTAGAGATATAAGGCTGGATGGACTGAGGGGAAAAATAACTTTTGCTTTACTCTTACACAATAACTAAGTTGTTTAGTATGAAAAAGTTCCATTGCTATTTCAAAATCCAGGAAAATCATTAAAGATTATTTCAACGATATTCCTATGCAGAAAATAACAAATAGCTTCAGTAAAGCCAGGTTTCCACTATATTTTCAACGCAGTTCTCTCTCTCAGCTCAGCCTTTCAAAAAAGAAAGGTCATTAATCATTCAGTCACTATTTCCTCTAGGAAAAGTACAGCATTACAGGAGCCCAAGAAACATCAGAAGTGCACGCAAAATGTAAAATCATCTTAGAGGCATATCTCAGGGTACACTTGCATCCTCCTTAGAACATATTCCATAAAAATCCCTTGGAATTTATGAGGATATCTAGAAAATTAGTTTTTATGGAGATAAGGAGATATCAAGGACTTAACATTTACAACTAGTTCCGGCTTTTCTCTGGCCTGCTTGAAACACTCCCTTCAGAGCCCATCGGAAAGTCAATCCGTACTGCCAAGTGCCTGGTGTTGTGTTAAGTTCCTCCAGCTGGTCCAAACAAAATAAATATCACAGAGCCCCATATGCCACAGAGATATAAGCCCCAAACCTGAAAGCAGGATGGCAGCAGCACTGTACTGGTAAGACTGGTCAGCTCTGGTCCTCTGAAGGGCTAGGAAGCTGGACTGGACTGCTACACTCACACGCCTACACCAGCCTAGCTCTGGAGCTCAACTCTTCAGACCTAAGTTGGGTATCTTCACACACCACCACACCGCATGGGGCAGATACAATCCTGGGGTCTCCTTGAGGCTTCTCATAAAATCCCATCCGCATAGCTCTCTACAGGTACAAGAGAGTTCAAAGAAAATGATGGTGGTGCCGGTTTCCAAGTTGGCTGAGGAGCTCTCTCATTGATTACAACGCCTTACAGCCAGTTGGGCGGACACAATCAGGTATTTGGTTGGTGAGCATGTGTTGCTCTTCATCTAGCAGGGTCAGAAAAGGAAACTGAAGCAATTTGTTATCATGTGGTCTTGTTTTGCTAGATCTACCAACACCTCTCATTTAAAAAAAACGAAAGAACTATGGAAACAGTAGGGTCCTGCAGGCACTGGTTGAAGGCTTTCTTTTTACATCTCTAGTTTCCACTAATCATTACATGTTGGAGCATAGCCTTGTAGAAAGTTTAGTTTGTTTTGCTTCACTTCAGTGACTGGGAGATGTATAAAGACCATTGCAAATTAAATTTATCGAAATGTCTCCCATTTGGACATCTCACTGGAAACCATGAGTGAATTCCAGTGCTTTGCAGCTCTGGTCATGCAGGAAATACTCTGTGAAAAGGTAGTGTTTTGGCACATCCTTTTCACAACTCTGGTCACAAGCCAAGAGTAGGAATGGCAGAAGCATACATTTTTCAAATTTTATTTTAGTCAGTTGAATGACTTTTAATGCCAGAGCCAGCTCAGACTGGAACAGGTTCAAGTTTGCAGCAAGCTGTTCAGATTGACTTTTCAGTGAAGTTTAATAGCTCAACTGGTTTGATTTAACCAATTCTATGAATAAGGAAAAGTCAAAGATCTATTCCATTCTCCTTTCTCCCTGACAAAGCACTTGAAGAAAACTGGACACCATGCCCAGGTAGGTGTCTGAAATCTGTTATAACACAAAAATAAGCATACTGCTTGAACAAAAGTCTTATAAAGGTCTGAACAAAGAAGCTTAAATACAACCAAATACCAGAAAAAGTTAGGACCTGAGTCAAGTTCCAGACCAGGACTTGCTCAGAAGCAATACACCTTGGGCAGGAACTTACGTGCACACGCAGGTCTTCCTCCGCGTACTCGTGTCCCTGGTGCCTCTTCTCCACTGTCAAACACACACCAGCAGCTGTCCTGGTCCTGGCTGCACTGCACGGGTGAGAAAGTCCCGTTGTTCCCTTCACACTGTGGGATGTAGCCTTTGCCAGCTTCTCGTAAATCAGTCTTAGACTTCAGCATATTACAGAAACTAGGACCTTTAAAGAGAGAAATTCATTGCAAGATACGGAAGACAACAAACTAATGCTTTGCAGAAGTGACCTATATTTATGTACAGAATTGTCCTAAAGACTTTAACAGCAGTGCTTTCAGATTGTTTTATTAGAAGAAAGAAAGAGAAGTGATCATGAAACCATCCATAATTTGAATCATTATAGAAATGAAAAATTTACTTCCACATTTTTTCTAAAGATTAAAATGCAAGTTATACGGGTTTGCATCAATACAATAGTTGAAAGAAGAGTGGTATTTATTTTGCATTTACATATTTTTTGCCATAGATTTGATAGTGTATTAGATGTTGATATTTTAAATTTAAATTAAAAAAAAAAACACAACAAATTAATTTTCTTAGTAAGAATTTTTTCCATATATAAGAAAAAGAAAGCAGTCTTGCTGAGTCAGATGAAAGCACTATCTAACTCACTATCCTCTCCTGAGCAATTATCTACCAAATTACAGAAGTTCTGGGAGAAGGTTTGCCTGAAGCCAGCAGACTATTGTCCCAAATTTCCTATGGGACATAGCAAGCAGAAAATCACTGGCTGAAAAACTGAAGAAAGCAGCACAGCAGACGTGCAGGCTCTTGGGCTGCTTGTATGGCTCAAAAGAGCAGAGCCAGGGCACAGGCTCCAAAAGGGCATCCCAATTCTTATAAATAGTCTTCAACTTTCTGGACCTGCCATCTCTTAAGAGACACCAACATTTCTGTCTTTATGTGAAGACAATATAAAGGTATTATAGATCTAATTGCACTCCCTGGAATGGTTGTGGATCATGTAAAATGGACTCACTGGATGCACATGGCCCAGTTCCCACAGGTCAGAATTCGCTGGGTTAGAAAACTCATCCATGAGCCCAAAGAATTTTCTGTCGTGGTCATCAATGTAAGGTAAAACTGAATAGAAGCCTGATAATTAGTCTATTTCAGATCGGTTTATTCCTGGTTTTATGAAAGTAAAAGATAACTATTTTCTGATATCCTTTCAGAGATGATGTGCTTGTATGTATGACACCAGTCAGGAATTAAACTGTAAGCCCCCCATGTTTTCACAGGCATGGTTCTGAAAAGGAAAGTATAAAAGCCACAAAGCATGAGACATTGTCACTGGTACCACAGGCTGTGGGCAAAGCTTTACTCACACTGGGGATTGCCATCCGAATCTTTGCTGCCACGCTGGAGCACTTCTCCTGACACAGGATTTACACACCAAGTATCTGCATCGGATCTCTGCAGCACGGCGTATTCTCCTGTCTATGAACAATAAATTACATGTCATTGCAGTGCAATGTGTATTAATACAGACATACATAATCCATATCCCAAATGTTGGTTAAAGTATTTGATTAGATTTTATTTGTTCATTAATACAACATGAGAAAAAGAAACCTGAACCACCAAAATGCAGTCTACCTAATTTAATACATGGATCAGGCCCTGAGAGAATCGGTACACAGACTGAAAGCCCATTGAGATGAAGTTCTGCTATAATCTTGGTTTGAAATATCTGCTCCCTGCCCATCTCAGGGCTCTATCCTGCTCACTGCCATGTTTCAAGAGCATCACAGACCCTATTTTGGGATACCTGCATCCAACTTCCCCTCGTCCTGACATTCTCCCACAGCTCAGGAAGAAAGAGGCCTCCAAATGTCAGGCAGTTAAGTTGCACCTTTTAAGCACAGCCCTGCAAAAGGAGGCCACCCTGTAGGAGGGTAGCATAGGCAGGGACAGAGCTTCCTATTCCTTGTCTTCATCTCAAAATTATTTATATTCTGCCTCATACAGGGCAACATCCACTGTTTGTTTTGTCTTACCCTTTTCTTTCAGGTTAATATGAATGAACAAGGGATGTTTTAAGGAGCACAGACTGAAATTGTGCAGGACTTTGGTGTAAGAAACACCAGGGAGGTTTTGTTTCTTCCTCCCTTGGTCATGTTAAATCACCTCAAGGCAGTAGGGGACGAACAGATCAGCTGTAGAGGCATCCAGCTTTGAACCACTCTGTCTCCAGCTGGAAATTAAGGCATTGGTTCGAGATCGCTGACATGATGTCTGGCCTGCAAATGGAAAAACACACACGTGTATTAAAGTAAAATCAAGTTCTCAAATCTAAGCTAGAGAAAGGGGTACATCCCCAGCTCCTTTGCACATCTCCAGCAGGCTCTGCTACAGCCTCGGGCAGGAAATTCCTGATTGGCATTTGATAACCACAGAATCACAGGGTAGTTGAGGTTGGAAGGGACTTCTGGAGACATCTGTTTGGATATCTGGTAAAACCCCTGTGCTCAAGCAGGGCCACCAACAACAGAGGGTTCATTCTCAAATCATGCAGGCCAAAATCACACATAGTGAAATTAAATTAATTAGAAAAACAAGCAGAAAATTCTTTTTTCTTTTCTTGCAATTGTTAGAAACAAGCCTTGGTTCATATAAATCATACTAGAATTTTCAATAAATATTAAAATTTGTAAGAACAGGTAAAGCCAAATATTTCAGAAGAAAAACTGACTGACATTTGGGAAGTTCTGCTGAGCGTGAGACCAAGGAATCCATGACATAACGTCCTCTCTCATCCACACACCAGCAATGACCTGGCCAGGGAAGAAAAGCAGCTTTATTTTACATGTTATATTGCAGGATGTTTTGTTGCATACAGGGAAGATTTCCATCCTTAGTAGCACTACAGAAAGTGGTCAGCAAATCTAAGTCACAGTTAAATCTGCTCTCCAGGCATTAGACCATGTCTGACAGCAGTGGTGGGAATGGAAATGTAGCAGCTTTGGTGAGACTCTACCATTGAAGTCCTATTCTGCAGCATAACACCTACTCCTAGCAACTTGGTATCATCCACAAACTTCCTGAGAGTGCACTCCATCTCACTGTCCTGATCATTAATGAAGGAGCAATACCAACCCCTGAACTGACCCCCAAGGAACACCACTAGCAGCAAGCAACCGAACATCAACTGAGTTTTGAGCTGTCACTTGAGCCCCTCGCCCCAGTCAGTTTTCCACCCATCTTGTAGACCACTTCACCTCCTAAATCTGCTTACTTTTAGTCTGTTCAGACAGCCCTCAGTATCTTGCTAGCAATTGCTCACCTGTGCTCTCATAGCACTGAGTTGGCTCCCAGTTTCCCAGGCCATCACACTGTGGGATGTAAGGGAGAAATCCCAGCTGTGTTGCTTCCCCAGCAGAACGTTTTGAAGTAAAGTGACTCTGCCAGTAGAAATGCAAGACTATAAAAGATAAGTAAAAGAAATATATTAGTGGCCAACCTAATAAGATATATTTTAAATGCACATGTTTGTGAACACCTCATTGTTCTCTGCACTTCAGAGGGCAAATTAACAAATGCTGCAAGTACATGAAGGCCAGTAGGTGTTCAGATCTTATACATGCATGGTCTCACACATAGACCGCATCTCACAAGACAACCAAAACCAGCTCTTGGGTTGGCAGGTAAATTACACTGATTAACAATACTTGCTGAGTTGCACCTCTTTTTCAGCAAAGTTGAATCTGACATAGAATACTCTTGCACAGTTCCTGGGCATTAATCCATTTAATTTAGCTCTCATCTCTCTTTCACCTACCTGACCATGCAGCCAGCTGGAGAGCATAGTCACTGCCTGATAACAGCTTTTCAGAGACCACCACCTTCGACTCGTAGGGCTGAGCAGAACGTAGGAGATCAGTGTCTGTGAGCTGTATCCCCCTTGCCATCAAGAAACTTTCTCCAAAAGGGAAGTGGGAACTATTTGATGCTAGGATGAGCTGCTCTGCCTCCTCCATAAATGTCATGGCTTCTTGCTTAACACCTTCACATATACCAGGACCTGTAAAACCACAGGGTATTTTAATGCCTTTCATCTAAATCCAACAAAGATTCACATGTGAAAACTAGCTGGTCTTTTAATTAGCATCTTCTATTTCCTCCTGCATTTGCTTGGTTTTCAATTGTGCAATGAAGCAAGGAAAAGTGACTTGTCAAAACTTAGCTATAAAACCACAAGAGTCCAAGAGTACCAGGGATCACCCAAACATTCTCCAAGTCTTGGGCCAAAGGCCTGATGATTTTAAGTTACCTCCTTCTCATTGGTTACAAATGGAGTTAATGTCTCTACAGAAGTACCCCTCAGCCACTGCCATAAAAAGTGAATAATAAGAAAAGAGAGTGAGAAAGGAAACAAAAGGTCAGTTCAACACACTGCATCAGTGCAGTGAAAGCTTTTCCACTAAACTCTTTGCTAATCTGCTTCTTCCTCCTTGTTCCCCATTAGGCCACAGGACTGGCATCTCCAGCAGTCCTTGCCCATTCAGAAGCTTGCCACTCATTGTCCAGTTTCTTCCTCCCAGCTGGAGAATTACTATGTCATGAGAATGGTTTTAGTGACTACATTTATAATGTGAGTCATCTGCTGAAGTAACCCCAAAGAGGGCCCAACAGCTTTGGTGGAGATGTCTAGCCAGAGGGCTTACTAAACTTCAGTGCTGGCCCCACACTTCTCCTAGTGATTTCTAGGGGATACTTGTTACTCTTGACTGCATAAGAAACAGTAAAGAAATTTCATATCGGCTCATTTTAAGGCATTCTTGAAAATCTGTTACATCACAGTGTAATTGTGAATTTTCCATACAATTCTTCATACACTGTTTCTAACTTCAAAGTGTCTTTTGTCTTCTGGCTAAGTATCTTTTGCAAAAGCATCACATGTCCGATTCCAAATTATAAAATTTACACAAACTTGCTATGGAACTTTAGTCCTCCTTATTCCCAATGCTGAGATACCACTTATTTACCACAAATGAGACAACCCACCTCTGGTGGCCAGTGACAATACTAGTATCGATGATCTTTTCACCGAGTCATTGTCTCTTACCTCTCAGCACCTGAAAGGATTTTCCTCTTGTGGTGTAAAAGCAAAGACCAGAAACACTGCAGCTTATGTGTTACTTACATGCCGGGACCTGGTTCACTTCTGCCTTTGTTCCTTGCAGCTCTTTTCCTTTGCTATCCACACACCAACAATCACGAAGCTCAAAGTGGCTTAATGGAGCGCTGAAACCAGTGTACGGTCCTGGGTAATAGGCCAACTGCTCACCCAGAAGCTGCCAGAATGTATATGGATCCAGCAAAATGTTCTCAGATCCATAGGTCACGTTTCCTTCCAGCACCTCAGGTGGGAGATCAGTGAAGGAGGAATATGTGGTGAATGCTGGGAAGACATTCTGGTGCCCGGCCTCATACAAAGCTTTAATGAAAGCTGAAAAGCCTTTGGAAGATGCCTCTTTATATCCAGTTATGATGTTCAATAGATCAGCAATGGGCAGAGGTTTGCCGTCATTGTTCTCCGCAATCCACCTTTCGTACCACTCAAAGGCTGGCTCCGGAGGGCCACTGCACTGCACCCGCCTCCAGGCCCCCTCAGCATCACACTGCGGGAGGTGGATGCTGGAGAGCTGAGATAGAGCACTGGGGTCTGACAGCAGGAGCTTCACAGCCTTCAGAAACTCCTGACCAGCTGTAACTTGGCAAGCACTTGGGCCTGGGGAAAAGAAAAACATGCAGAGCACGTCTTATGGATGCACTGAAGATACACAATACCCCCTACCATTATAAACACCATTACTAAAACTTGGTCACTTATCCCAGCACCAACATCATCATTTCTGGCCTGTTATTAAGAGGTCAAATGCTCTTGAGCTCCTACGCTGGACCAAGGTAAGATTTCTAAAGGCATGTGAGCACTGAAAGATGAACTTAGCTATGATTTTTAACAAACATCTGAGCACATTAGATGCATGTAGTTCTTACTGGTGAGGATAGGTGCTAAATGCCTTCCTGAATCTGTTCAGACCAACTAGGTATTTCCAGATACACTTGATAATCTGGCAGCTAATTCTTACTGAGCCAATCTCTGCAAAAGCCACCATCTGAATAGCAGGATAATGCTGATTTTATTTCCCTTTGGACCTAACCAGAATTTTCAGATTCTGTTGTCCTCTTTTCTTATTCTCTACTAAATATTGCAGCTGGATATAAAAATACTATCTTTCAAAACGCTGGAGGGAGTTTGTTTTGGAAGCCTTCTCTGCCATCTCCAGAGCCAAAATTGATTTTGCCACCAAGCAACTCTACAAACATAGGAGCTCATCTCCTTTTGAGCACCAGAGAATTATGAACCTGTTAGCTTTTGATGACACTACAGATCAGGTGCTAGATATAAATCCCATAGCAATTCAGATCATCACAATACTTCTGCAAACTGCTAGTCAAAGGAGCTCCTTCACCATGTACCACTATCATCTGCTGGGTACTCTGCTACTCCTTCCAAAATGAGTAGGCTCTTCTCTTGGTATGCTCTCCCTATTGATGTGCCACTTTCAGTTCACAGAAACTTGAAAGACAAATACCCCTAGACTATGCACTTCCTTCCTCCTTTGTATTACATTACTAGAAGGGCAAAAGAGGCTATAAAATAGTCTATAACCAAGTTGCAATGTCAAATTGATGTCTGACAAGTCATTTGAGACTCACTTTTGTGGCCTGACTGCACAACCTTTACGAGAAACCTGTCAGCCTTTTAATCACTCTCCTATGTTAGGACTCCTGTGACATCCTACCAAGTTGAGGATATATTCTTGAGCTAAAAGACTAAAGAAGGTTCATGGTTTAAAGCGTAAAGAAAGAATTGTTAAATTCCAATACAATAATGAAGCATCTTTGGATTCCCAGTCCCCAAGACTTACACTGCAATGGCTTTCCAGGATTTCCCTTTATTCCTGGAATAGTCCTGCCATTCAAATCAACACAGAAGCAATTCGTCCCATAACACTGGAGCGGCAGAAAGTCTCCATCCTTGGTACAAGAGGGAATAAAAAGATCTGATCCTGCAGGGAGGCTTTTTTTCACATTTTGCAGGTTTCTCCTTTGCTTCTCGCATTCAGTGGGACACCTTGGACGTTTGCCTTGAACTCTTGAGCCTGGAACTTGCTTACCTGAAGTGTCCAAACACCAGCACTCTCCCGCATAGCACTGAACTTCCTCATACCTCCCCTCCTTGGTGCATGTTGGAACAAACAGGTCCTTTGGCTCCTCACTACAGTCTTTGGATCCCAGTGCTAGCTTCACCACTTCACCTAAATCTTCAGCAACACTTTTGGGGACAGAAATCACTTGTTGAAGAAAAGTAAAGAACTCTGGTAGTTCCAGGACAGAAGAGAGGAATTTAATCATGTTCTGATTGTCCTGTAGAGTTACTGTATGACCAAAGCTGCTTACAAGAGGTTTACTTAAAACAGAACTCCCCTTTGATACCTCTAAAGAAAATGCCTCAGCTGATTCCAGAAGGCTTTGGCCGTTACCTCTCTCTGCCACATCCTCCTGTGGGAAAAACTGGCCAATGCTGTATTTCCCACTAGTGCCCAGTGCCCCTGTGAAGTTAAACTGGATCAAATTCTTCAAGAACCTTCCTCCAAAGAGGTTTTCTTGGAAACGCTTTGGATTGGCAGTAAATTGCAGTGCCACTTGAGCCAGTTCCCTTGACGGGAACATCCCCGTTATGACTTCACTAAGGGTGGTTTCCAGCCTGGGAATCTGGCTGGCATATGGGCTTTGTGCAACTGGGGACGACAATCCGGAGTCCAGAAACATCTCCTTGAAGGAGGGAGGGCAGGGTCTTGAGAAGCCAGCTGTTTTCTCTGATTGCACATCTGGCGTGGAAAACAAATTGGACTGACTGAAGTACCCAGCAGGGCCATAAAAGATCCTCGACAAGGCCCGTCGTCTCTCGGAGATGCACTCTTGTTCTTCACCTAGACAAAGATTTTAAAAAGGCAAATTTTAGAAGCTCCAAAACCTGTAACTCTGTGGCTATCTTTTGAGAAGTCTGGGCAGAAACCACATAAAAGTGTAGTTTAACCTGTCTCTAGTACCTCAACTACGCATCACACATATTGAGAAGGAAATCTGAACTTCTGATGAATATGGTCTATAAATAAAATTCTCCAGTCAATACAGAAAGTGAAAGGAAACCTTCCTTCACCACATCTGAGTTGTTTGCTCTGAAGTGTTTTCTGATTCTATTGCTTCCAAATGTAAAACCTCATTCCTGTTCCTATGGCTAAAAAATTGAATAAAGTCTTTTCCAAACAAGGTAACTCTCTGGTAGGATGCCTGTTTCTAATGAAAGCCTCTGATGATCCAGGCGCAGTATGTGAACCTAAGACAGACAAATAGACTGCAGAAAAACAGAAAGTTACTTGAACCAATGCCCACTAATTAGGAATTCATGGAGGCTTCCTACCTAGATCTTCACTTTCATGGTGAAGCATTCATTACAAGAGGTTTGAAAACAAATTGTTAAAATTAGCAGTAATGGAGTGCTAAAGACCAGGTGGCATTCACAAACAAGGTCTGAATTAAATAAATACAAAATTTCAACAAAAATGGTCAAATATCAGGGTATTGAGAGTATCAACAGTGGCTTTGGCCACCCACATCCTGGGCCAAGCTATATCACAGATGTGTCTGCATCCAGCCCCACCTGTACTTTCATACACAGACAGCAATGCCTCCAAGTTAGGATGCAACACATCCCTGAAGAAGGATCTCTGAAAATGCCAGCTTAAGGCTCAAAAGACATCAAAAAAGGAAAGACGTAGTAGATATAAAAACATCAAAACCCAAACAGATAGCATGGTTGTGGCACTGCCTGGATCTCTGGAACACACACGGAAGCTTGAATCATGTACCACATGGTTACCTTTCCTTGAAAAGCAGCAGAATTACAGAGAAGGGATGCAAAAGTAGCAAAATTACACAGAAGGGATGCAAAAATATTTTGAGGCCTCTGGGTTCAGCCTCCAGTCTGGGGCCACTCTAACCTGGGAGGATATAAGGAGCTGCATGCAGTTCCCATGTTTCTCATGCTTTCTCCTAAGCACCACTGCTGCTGCTGTAGGGCACAGGATGGTGAATAACCAGCTATAGTCTGCTTCAGCATGGCCTCCCTTGGCCTCCCCATCCCATCCCCATTTATTCCATGTTCAGGCAATATGATAAAGCAGTCATAAATCCTGTTAATAGTAAGGGTAAAAGCTGGAAACCTTAAAAGCTGCTAAAATAGATTAGCAAGTCATTTGAGGCTCTGTGATCAGCATCTTTCTCACTCCTCATTTTGCACCCTTGTCCTGCTCTGCAGTTCCTGGCAGCAGCTCAGGGTCCCTCACAGTCGTCCCTTTGTAAAGGCGTTTGCTGTAAGATGGGCCCCTTCTGTTTTCAGTGTTGGCTCTTGGTAAGAGGGATGAAGAACATTCCTCTGGGGACCAATAACTTAGTGTAAGCCACAATCCCGCAAGTATGCTAACACGAAACAAATGTAGGATCATGGTCTTTAAACGCTTTCCCTTCCTATCAACTGTTGAATCAAATCAAAGCAGAGTGAGAAGGAATGAACACAAAAGCACTGCCAGGGTGAATTTGCTATAAAGGTCTGACAAGGAGCATGTCTCTATCAGGACTGCGTGCGAGTACCCGAAATGCTACCCACACCTCCGCCTCTGCCTCCTCCAGTGTTCACGCTGCTGAGCATGAGTTGAAAATATTAAAGAGAAATAAACCAGAGCAGATCTGGAGACATACGCACGGCATGTTGCTGTCTGAACACAGACTGCAGCTATATCCTCATGAAATACCTTCTCAGGAGTTAGTCTGCAAAACCTCTGCAGAAATTTTTTTTCCTCTTTAAATTTCCTGAGTCTGCCAAAAAAAGCTGCAAACAGCCTCAAGTCATTGCCCCCACGCAAAAAAAAGTCATCAGGAAGGCTCAACAGAGCCCATTCAAAGAGAAAACAACCAGTCCCAACATATGGCATGGCCTCACAGGATCCCCTGCAATATCCTTGGTGATCAGCCTCCGAGGCATGCAAACATTTTCATTTCACAGTAAGCCTGTCTGTGCCCAGAGCTCTCTGAGCAACGTGGAGCCGTGACACCCAGGGCAGGTTCCTCCTTCCCTATTTGCGTGGTAAAACGATGTCTTGCAGACACAGAAATTACCTTCCCTGAGGGCGGCCCCTGTGTCACGACCTTGTGCTCTCCCAGCCCCCGGCGCAATCCTGAATATTTAGGTAGTGCGCTTCAGAGTGAAATTTTTTAACTTTCCTCCTCCCCTCCAGCCCTTTGACATTTCTGCTGTCATTTCCATCTGGGGCACTGACTTGATGGTGTATTCTTAATAACTTCTCTAAAAGCCCAAACGTATACACCTTTTCCAAATTGTCTGGGTTTTTTTTTACTGAATGTAGCAATTTTCACGGTCAAATATGTAGTGACAGAGATGGGAAAAAATGCTTAGGATAAGAGATGCCTTAGAAATGCCACAGCATTTCACCGAAGGAAAGAGGTAAAACCCAAAACCACCATCAATGGCTTCCTTGTATTATCTCTGATATTCTGACTTAATGCCCCAGTTCCTGGAGTCAAGAGACAGATACCACAGTTACAAAGGAAAGCCTCACTGTGTACAAAACTAAAAGACTAAAGAAAGGTCATAAAAGAAAAGAAAAAGAATATGTTATTTAGTAATTTATTAGAATGTGGCTCTTAACCCCAGGGAGGGTTTTAGATCCCAGTTTTTGAACACCAGAATCTGTCAGAGCTGAGAAGGGAACTGTCCTTCAGGTTTCTTTCTAAATCACTGAGAAATGTGATTATTTTTCCTTTTCCAAACCTTGCACATACCGCAGGCCAGGGGCTGCCCTCGTCTCTTTGTACCCTGGACCTCTTGCCCTTTGGTGTCCACACACCAGCACTGTCCCCCCTGCTGACACTGCAGTGGCGCGTAGCCCCCGTCGGCATCACAAGACGGCACGTAGGCGTGCTGGTAACGCAGGGCTGCGAACCGCTCAACCTCGCACTTTGAAGGGCCTGGAAGAAAAAAAGAGTGTGTGTTAAGGAGAGAAAGCCTCAAGTTTCAGAGCCACCTCTGCTGTATCCCATTGTTTGCCTATTTGGGGGGAAAAAAAAAAAAGTTTAATTTCCTGACTGTTTTCAGTGAAACTTCAAGTACCAGCCCAAAATGCAAATTCTCCATTCTATTGTCCCCTGGAGAAAACCCCAGGGTTTTCTACTGGATGCATTTATTTCTGAAAGCTAAACAGAAAATAAAACCTCAACACATTTTTGGCCACAGTTGTGGGCAGGCAGAGTAGCAGCATCTCTCTCAGGGAGCTGTGCTGGAGGCGAGGTGAGCTCCAGCCCTCAGTGCAAATGCAAAGCTGGTCAACAGAGACAGATGTGCAGCTTGGGAGACCGAGATGAAGGCAAACATCAATGTTTCTGAAGAGAATGATGCATTGCTCCTGCAAAAGGATCTGCACCTGACTCTTGAGATTTGGTCTGGGATCATCCAGTTTCTTCACATCCCTCAGCAGTGATCCAAAGACCCTATTCTAGCCAAACTGGCCTTAATGGCAGAGAAGCCAACACTCCATAAAGCAAATCTGAGTTATGATCTCTCCAGTGCTTGACTTTGCCGTTCCAACAGAGATTTTGCTTGTTCATATAAATCTGTAGTCCTACAGCCTAAATATTTCTCACTTTCATGAGCTTTCCAGCTACACTCAGCTACCAGGATGAGGCAGCAAGAGAATCACATCAGAACAACCTGTCCACCAAGGAAATCTGACAGTTTTTCTAATGTGATTGGCTTCAGGTGGCAGTGTGGGATCTGGGTTAGTCACCAAAGCCATCCCCTTCAGTGTCTGAGGAACGTGGTCACATCTCCATCTTGTGGCTGTTACAGCTTCGTCTTTGCTGATGGCTGCTGCATCCCCAGCCACAGCCAGAGCTCACTGCACGACACTGCAGCAGAAGAGAGGAGATGCTTTCCAGACTCCCCAGAGTGATCTGTTTGTCCCAGAAGTAGAAAAACCCTGTGACTACGCAGCTGGAAGACTTACATCAGTATCTGCTAAATATCTCTGGTGATGCAACTCCTTAGCAAGGGTCAGACAGCAATGTCAGAGGAATTTGGATGGGAGGATGAAGGATCACACCGGAGGTTCAAACTCATCCCAGCCAAGGCAACTCTCATGAGATCCAGTGTAGGAGAGAGAAGGAGGTACCTGGCCTCCTGTCCCACAGAGCTCATTGCCCATAGAAACTCTCTCCCTATTTGCCTGCCCCAACCAGAAGGGAACAGGCCCAAGGGCAGATCCAGAAGTTCAGCCATGCTGGCTAAGGCACAACAAACCCTTGTGTTGCCTCCCGGAGATTGAGTGCAAGATCCTTCCTATTTCTGAGTATACCATCATAAATTACGGAGCATTTTCTCAGGCTTTTAATTTAATAAATCATCAGATCCATCTCCATAATCTCAGGGCAAGACATATGAAGAGTTCATGGGATTTGAACTAATGTGAACTTCAAGTGCATGGGAAAGTGCTGATTGGAGGACAAGTACAATCTGCTAGTAAGAATGTACAATGCAGAGGTTAAAAGCCAGCTGCAATGCAAGAACTTCAATTCTCGCACTGAAACTGTGCTATTATACGTTTTTAGTGCAAGAGACTCATAGAATGACTCTCCCCAGCGGAAGCTGTTACATATAAATAAACTCCAAAACTGTCACCTCATTTACAAGGTGCCACCTGGGTGCTACTTACACCTGAACGTGCCAGACGTAGCCAGCTGCACCCCCAGAAACCGCCTCTGCAGGATGCGATAGATGCTGGTCTCCATGAATATGCGGGCAGGCTCCAGCGCAGAGAAAATTGTGTCGTAAACTTCATCGAGCAGCAGTTCCAAGCCTGGGGAAGAGAGACCTTTAGCACACAGCCTAGTTTTAAGACAGAAATCACCTGCTTTACATCAGAGTAGCAGAACTGAAAGCCTATCAGGGAGAAAGAAAACCAGTCCTCTAAACAGGCCATATGTGAACCTATATGGCATAACCCTAAACACCACCCCATATAACCCATTGCTGTGTGCCCAGTCATTAGCTACGTGTCTTGACATCTACCAAAACAAGCAGGAGGAACATCCTGTAACTGGTACTGTGTTGTGGTTTTATTAGGTTCAGTCTGCAGTAGAGTAATTGGTGAAATTTTGGAAATGGATGTTATCAAAAAATAATTCCCAATCATTTTGGTTGTATACCAAAAACAAAGATGTGTAGTAGTTTCCCTGAGTGCACAAACATTTTGAGAACTTCTCACCCTTGCGGGTATTAAATGTTGAAGTTCTCAACCATCTAAATTTTAAGCTATCATGTTTTCTATTTTTCCCAGTTTTTCTTTTTATTATTAATATTATTTTTAAACCCAGTACCTAGGGAAGTGGAGCTGGAAGTCCTTGACCTCCTGATTCCTCTTTCTTGGAAAACTCATTCTTTCTTCTAAAGTGTCCCACCAACTATTAATATGCCTAAAAAGTATCCTGAACTTGTGACAGAAAAGGAAGGCCCTCCAGTCACCATCGCTGGAGATGTTCAAAAAATGTGTAGATGTGGCACTTAAGGGCATGGTGGTGTTGGCTTGATGGTTGGACTTGATGATCTTAGAGGTCCTTTCCAAGCTTAATGAGTCTGTGCTTCTATCTGATGTCTCTGCCCATGGCAGGGGGGTTTGACTAGATGATCTTTAAAGGTTCCTTCCAACCCAAACCCTTCTATGTTTCTACCTGAGCAAGAAGAATATAGTTTGATCTCCAGACCCTTTATATTCCCTTGAATTTGCTAATTGGGCACATTAAATAAGATGCAGGTTTCATTCAGAAATCCCATTCCACCATCTCAGAAAGGACAGGATTAGCTCCCAGGGAGCACAGCTCCACTTGCTGCTGACTGAAGTGCTACTCCTCAGGGTAGGACTTCACCAGTGAGCTCCAGTCTTTCCTATGGGCACTACGCTGGTCACAGTGCTCTTACCTCTTGCAAGGATGAAGTCCATGTTCTAAATGAAGCTGAAGACTGATACTTGTTATGTGCCCTTTTCCTTGGGAATTCAGAGCCACTCAAGGTAAAGGATCAGACGCCAGAGGGTACTTACCAGTGTCTGCTAACTCTCTCCCCAGGCTGTCCACGCAATAACAGTACCCAGAGACCTCCGGGAATGCCTCCCGCAAGGAGCTGAACGTTTGGAAAGCCCTCGGGAGCCTGGAAGGAAAAGCAGGCTCCTGTGAAGAGCCCAGGGAGGCTCACTGACAGCAACAAATCATCATCCGTGTTTCCCTCCCAGATTTGTACAGCAAGGATGTCCGCAGAGCACAAAGCCATTACAAAACCCTTTGGTCTCCTTATGGCGGCTAGGCTCTGACATGGATTCAGCAGCTAACAAGTCTCCTAAATGTCATTTTGTTAAACAAACACAGGACAATCTCCCTTCAGACAGATTTCTGACCCTTCCTAAGCAGGTACCCAGCATCTAACACTCATTTTCAATTCTAGTCTCATCTTTGAAAGCCTGCCAGAGAGTGTAAAATAGATGGACATTGGCTTAATGTTATTACAACTCCCGTTCATTAGCTCCTTCCACAAATCCGCACAAGATGGCAGAGTGCCTAAACAAACAGGTTGTTTCCCCTTCCCCACAGGCTATATACACTTTCTGCACCGAATTAAGCACAAAAGCTGATAAAAACCTCATTAATCTTTTTCATTTTGCAAGCATGGCTCAACAGATTAAAGAGAAAGGGGTTTAAACATATTACAAGTGAGATTGGCTCTTACTTCTGGAGATCAAAGAGGTGGTAGTTTCCAGTATAATATTCTAGGAGTGACAACAGCCAGATTCCAGCAAAGCCATGATTTAGTAAGGAAACGTAATAGGGTCAGAGTTGGAAAAAACACAATAAATGTGATCTTAACTGGCAGACATTCTAGGGTTTCTCCAAGCAAAGAGAAGGTAAGTTTTTCTCGATTCAGGCGATATGACCAGCAGAATTACTTATCCAAGTTCCAAAATAATCATATCATTGTTCCAAAATAACCATATTATTTTACAGATGCATACCCTTAACCTGAAATACAATAACGGTCTGGTGTCCCAGCTGGATGTGACTTTTTTAGGAAAATCTAGCAACAGAGAGGTGGAATTTTCTGCTCAAGACCTTTAGAGAGTTACACGAAGGAGGTTTTTCCCAAGGAAGGACACTTAGCAGTAAGAGTCATGGTGGATTAGGCCCTGATCAACTGGGAAAAAGGTTAATGTGCCAAAGCACTTTACAGCAACTCTGTGAAATGGGAACTGTGACCAGTGACACCTTCCTGCAGCCTCAGGGCTGCTGTAGCATGTGCAGTGCCCCTGAGAAATGCAGCGAAAAGCTGATGTGGCTCAGAGCCCATGGTGAGGTGAGGGGAGTGGAGTAAGAGCCTTTGCCACCTTCAAAAGTCAGCCTGAGAGCTCTGTTACCTCTTGCCAGGAGAGCTGAAGATGTTGCTGCACCCTCAGGACCTCACAGCGCAGGCTGGAGGAAGGCACAAAGTGACAGCAACCCCTGGCAGAGGAAGTGGCTGGTAACCTTGGGGCTGTCCCAGCATTAATCAGTGGTGCCCCCTCTCAGAGCTTGCACATCCCTCAGCTTTGGCACTCTCTCATTAAAAGCCAATGAACTCCTTCCATCTTGGACTGTCAAATCCTGCTTCACTGCTGACATTAGCATGCTAAAAGCAACCACTGTCGTATTTCAGGGCATGAAGGGACTTCGTACAGCACTAAATCAATGAAATTTAAGATATAAACAGCTAAATACCATATTTTTTATGGTCTTCTATGTACACACAGATATAAATGGCTTAGGACATTTCAAGTGCTTCTGCTCCCCTGAATTATCATACACTGGCCATTGCCCAATGAGGAATATGATCTTTTCTCTTCTTAGAAGAGCAATGCCTCTATATTCGAAGGCAGAATTCTGCACCGCTCATATCCTTGGAGCTCATCACAGCAGCCTCTCAGCATCTAGCTGAGTGGGACAGGATGTAATGAAAAGATTCTGCATGCTGTTTTCTTCCATCCTCGATGTTAAGTCATCACATGCATAATTATACTACTTTATATGGGGCAGATGTGTAGTCACATCCTGTCATTCTGGTTATTTTTGTTCCACGTTGAGAGCACAGCTAAATAAAGCACAAGCGGATACAAATTAGGCCCACGCAAACAAGAGGACAGAACTTTGCTCACCTCACTTGGAAAACTCACTTCCTACCGCTTCTTTTCTCAACCTTTTTTCAATCTCAGCCCCTGAGGTGAGAAGTGATAATAGAGAGCACCTCATCTATCAGACCCAGTCCAAATAAAATGCTGAAGCAAAGATGACTACATTCTAGTTATGGTTAAATTTATAGTGCAGCCACGTATTTCAACAAGAATGCTTGCACTCAAAACTACTGGAAAGTAAATTAATGTGAGGTTGTTGACCTTTTCTTCCAACTGTGAGTCTCTGCTCATGGCTTCCAGCAAAGACAACTCATTACTGACCTTCAAGAGCAGGTTTGCAAGTAACCCCTTCTATGTTTCATGTGTGCCAGTTAAGTTGTAGCCGCCTTTCTTATTAACTATGAACAGAGAGAGAAAACCAAATCACGGGTTTTTTTTCCGACTGCCAACAAAATAGAACATAATAGAGAAGAACCTCCAGTGAGCTGGAATAAAGACACTGACACAAGGTCTTCAGTCTGATGTAAATCATAGCAGGAAAGTAAAATGATCCTACTCCACTTTTGATTTTTTGATCTTTCTCCCCAGTCTACTACAGAGCCTTCTGTAGGGCTGCCCGTCCAAGTAGGACTTGTGTACAGTCTATATAAAACAAGTAACAGCAGCCAAGTCACCAGAGAGAGGCAGGAAATTTGGGCTCATCTTTATTCCCAAAAGTCTTATTCTTGGGAAATTCTTAGCTCTAAGGTTCTGAATTTCTCATTTTATTATTTTTATTTTTATCTTATTTTTTTACATACTGACTTATTCTGGAATATTTATGAAGGTGTAAGGAAACAGTTTGAGAAGGGAGTTAGTGTCAGACATGTATAGATTTCAGAAGTCAGTCTGTGGAACCAAAGAAAGTTTCTCCACCAGTTTCACATAAACATAATATACGGGTTTAAATCCTTGTTCTCCTACAGTCCTTTGCTCTGGAACCCTTAAACTGCATATTCGAGCCTCCTGTTTATGGGAAAGGATAATGACATTTCAGGCAGGAATAGTGTGAAAATAAACATATTAATGGCCTGAGACTCTCAGATATGATGGCAACGGGTTAAGTCAATGCCATAATTAGAAAGGTAGGCAGCTGGGAGTGAAGTGATCCTGCTGAGATTGATTACATGATACAGACATAAGAAAAGACCAATCTTGCAGGACTTTGCAGCCAAATCTCCCAATGGGAGAAAAAGAAAAAAAAAAGTTAATTTAAAGCATTGCTTTCTCCTCTGTAATTGCTCTTTTAGAATTTCCACACTGCACAGGCCAGCGAACAAAAAAGCCAGATTATTTTGCTCTTGCCAAGATAACCTCTCCCAAAGCCCTGACAAGTTTGCACTGTGCATTTGGGTCTGCCTTTCAGTTTTGCTTAAATTAAAAAAGAAAACCCTCAAAACAGCAAAACTGACATTTACCATAAAATGCCCTTGCTACTACAGAGCCGACTCAGAACGAGACATCACATTTACTCCACTGCCCTCCACCGGAGAAATGCTCTGACTGAGATGCCAAGATAATGGCACTTCATGAGACCAAAAGGTTTCTCTGGAGAGTCTGAACAACTGCACCGAAATGAACTCCTGTCCCTGTGGTTGTTTCTCAGCCATCCCTTATTTCTCCAACTGAGCATTAATTCCCAGCTCCTCCACAGGACAACAGCTTCTTGCTGACAAGAAGCATACAAAGATTTGATCCAGCATTTTGAAGCCTTCCCCAGCCATCTCCAATCACCCCAAACCACTCATATGTCAGGACATCCATTCACCACCTACTGGTTCACCTGTATGAGCAACTCTGGCACTGCCTCAACGGACTGGAGTTTCCCATCGTTTTCACTTCCCATCGGGAACCGTCTTTCCTACCTCATACATACATTTGAATTCCTCTCGTCCTTCCGCATTTACCTCGTTTATCTGTCAAGGTAGCCCTGGCTACTTTTCCAAATACAGATCATAATGTGGCATCTGCCGGTGTGTGAGGACACACTGATTAGACTGCAGGCATGGAATATCAGGCTTTTCTAAACGAGTACATTTAATTAAGAAGAAAAAGTTTCTCACTTGGTCCATTCACTAACAAAAAGTCACATCATATTGGGTCACAGAAGAAGGGCTTCATGTGGAAAAATAAAAAGCAGTAAGACATTGACTTGACAATGCATGGATGATTGCCTCCCTGTTTCAGAAGCCTACGCTCTTACCTGTTATAATTATGAACAAGATCAAAAAACATCATGTCTGTAGTGTTGACAAACTTGCACTGGACAGGCAGAAACTCTCCGTCTGCTGAGCACTGGGGTGGGCTCTTCTCCCCAAACCCATGCAGAATGCGACGGTCTCGGATCTCACAATTTCCCGGACCTGACAGGAAACAAATGTTTATTGGTGTTTTAACTTCCCACAAACAGCTGATTAGCCACCCCATGGTTTGGAAGGGCTTTAGATTCACTACATTGAGCATGGACACCTAAATGTCTCGTATCCTTGTTATGTGGAACATGGAATTGGACTCAATGAACCTTATGGGTCTCTTCCAACTTGGGATATTCTGTGATTCAATGAAACAAAGACCACAACAACTCACTTTAACACCTATACTTCCATAGGATAAGTGTAGGCTGCAGCACAAGCTCCTGATCCACTACCTTTCATTCACACCAAACCTTCCCACCCTACAAAACCCACTATTTTGTTGAATATTACTTACACCGCACTGGCTTTCCCCTCTGCCTGGTGCCATAAATCTCCATTCCTTCTGGATCTACACACCAGCACTGACCCAGCTCTGTGTCGCACTGCACCACATCAAAAGCTCCTGAATCCAGGCACTGAGGGACATAGGAGATGCTGCTGCTGTTGATGTATCGACTCACCAAGATTCTCTGCTTTTGCAGCTGGCAAAAGGATAAGCCTGTAGTACCAGAGAGGGGCACTGTTAGAGGGAGGAATTTGTTGAGTACAGAACCATTTATGTTTAAGAAAATAGCTGAGTTTTCTCAGGACATGGGTGGACTTAAGGTCATGAAAATTGATATACAGAAATCCACCACAGATAGGGCTGAAGCCCTCCAACTCAAAAGCCAATACACTAAGTTGATCTTCATTCATGATTTACTGTGACCTTCATGAATACAGACCACCTCGGTGTATCAGGTTTCCATGACCACCTCCAAAGAAACTCCAGACCTCCCACCAGAAAGACCCAGCAAATTACAAAGTCCATCAAAGTCTGGAGCTATCTTTTTAGCAATTCAAATACAGATTTAAATAGCCTTTTACCCAATCTGAACAAAAATAGAAACTTGTGACTCACAAGATATGGGATAGCCGTTCTGTTTGCTGCCAGGTACTTCAATGCCATTCTCATCCACACACCAACAGGAAAGACCATTCCTACTGCACTGAACTGTCCTGAAGGAGATCACAAGTAACATATTTTATTTTGTTAGTGACTGAGCCCTCAGTCAGTAAGGGACACAAAAAATCTTAAAGCAAGCCAAACAAGTTCAAGTACTTCAACACTGCAAATAACAGAATCAAACAGAGTTGTGTTTCTGTTGACTGTAACTGTACCTGGTTGGAGCTCTTAATTCTAGTAATTCTCTGAAGTCTTCAGGAATTGCAGATAAGAGACTTGGAAGTCATGCAGGAAGTAACCAGGTTGGACAGAATTCTGACTTTCGGTATTTGAGATTTACCATATGTTTTGAAACATTTTCTAAGCCAAATCTAGAACAGTCAAGGTCACCCACTCTATGCAACATCAATAACACAACAGTAGGGGACATTACAATCTCTACTTCCCTCAGCCTCAGCTTCAACTCATTAACTCCTTGCATCTTCAAACAACATACTGCTCTCTAAATCACTGTTCTCCATTGACTTTTTGGTTCCTTTACTGCCTCTAGGAGGAAATCCAACTATGCCACTTACAGCAGGGTGGATAACTTCTCCAAGTCAACCTGGCCTAGCCGTGCCAGATGGCACACTGATCACAGACCATGAGCATGCATGCAAAGACAACAGTTTCATTAGACAACAACCTGCACCAAGTATTTAACATGCAAATGGTGTCACCAAGGTTAATCTTAAATCGACCTCTTAACCCAGAGATTATTTCGAGTGACACAGCGTTCATTCAGGAGAGGCTGGATCTGCAACATGGTCCAAAGAAGTCCCTCCAGTCTCCTGCACCCCTCACCCTCCAGCCCACCAATACAGAGGCTCTTCAAAACTGAAGCCAAAGCTTTCATTAGTAATGAAAGGTCATGTCACCTAACAGCAGAGAAATAGCAGTGATGAGTTACCTGAACTGGCCATCTTCTGAGCACTGAGGAACATAGGTTTCTCCTCCTGAAAAAGCTTTCTCCCTCTGGAGTTCGCATGGACGTAATGGTTGGGAATCTGTCTGATACTCTGAAAGCAGCAAGAGGGTAAACACATAAGGGTGGTTTCACCACAGGTCTGTTCTTATCAAAGCCCTGTTACTGTCAGTGCTATGTGGTAAAATCCCCAGGTTCATGGGTCCTGCCTGGTTGTTTCCCCATTGCTCCTTGTGTGCATTTCTGCATGGGACAGCTGAGGGAAGTACTGAACAAACCCGCTGCATTGCCAGCTGCAGGATAAGCACATGACAGTGATGCTCGTGAACCCCCTTCCCAGGCCTGTTTTTAATTAGTCTTAGCTCTGTTCTGTACCAGTATGTCTATTATTTTCTGGTACCCAGGGTACTTCACTTACTCAGAGTTAGTTGTGGCTTTCACCACAAAACAGCCCTTTGCCATAACCACACACACCACTATTAATGTTTCTGAGTATTTATTCTTTATTGAAGCTAAGTCACTCGCTATTCCAGCAAAAGGAGAGGTATTTCTTAATCTCATGGAAGACCTAAAAAGAATAAATGTCTAGCAGTTAGTATCAGACTAATTCATAATTAGGAGCACTTCTCAATTTTTACTGGAGCAAATGATCAACTACTGAAGTCATCTAACAAGAAAACAGTTGACTCTTTAGTTCTTAATACATTCAAAAGTCCCTTTGGATACTGTTTTGGAAGAATGATGAAATTTAGTAGGTCCTTTTTTACAGAACAGATTAGTTGATCTGACACTTTCCCCACCCTCAAAATTCAATGAATGTGATGTTTTTAATTCCATTGACTAGTTCTATAAAAATACAGCAAACAAACAAAACCATAGCTACAGTGATTTATATGAAAAGTTCACTTAATCCAGTATTTAGTCTGAGCGTGACCACACATAGTGATGCAAATACATCACAAGTATTCTGAATGCATTTCAGCCTCCAGTAATTTGTAGCTCAGGGACTTAGGGACTTCTTAAAGCACAGATGGTTTCTGTGCACCTAAGACCTCTCAATCACTTCTGTTTCTGTGGGTTTTTACTATGTCCTTTTAAATTCCTATGAAAGTTTTCACAAGCTCACTTATAGACATCCACAAGCAGGCCAACCTCACCATTTTCACCTCAAACATGTCTCTGAGCCAGTTGCTCTGGGATGTGTGGAGATTCCTTTGTACAGTGCTAGAGAGAGTCTACTAAAATGTTTGAATTAAGAGATTAATCAGTGATTCAAACTGGTTGTTGTGCAGGGCTATCAAACTCAGACCAAGAACTGGGGATGGCAGTCAGACTACCCAGTATCTTAAGGTTCAAGCCTAATTAGATGATGGCACATACAAATAGAAAATATAATTTTAGAACCTTCACATCTCTGCATCACCACCTTTTCTTACCCAAACTCCTGCTTTAGCCCAGTCTGTTCTTCCAGAAAATGTTTGTGGAGTTTTTTTTCCACTCAACCAAAATCCAGCTGTACTAAACTAGATAACCCTGACCGTTTAAAGATCCTTACAGCTTAGCATTTAATCTGGAGCTCAAATTCAGTTTGCACAGCACACAATAACTACCTAAGCTTACAATGTATAAGATTCAAGATTATTATATACTTCATTGCAATAATACACAGAGCAGCACAAATATCACAGGAGCACAGTCACTACTGGACACAGGCAGAGGGACAGAACAAGCATACTTACCAAATATATTGGCTGTTGCGATGCCAATAAAGCAACAAAGAAGGGTGCAAAATGGGATTGAGCCCATCTTGCAATAGGAGAGCTCCATCCCCTGCAGTCAGTGAGGGGGCCCTGCACACCCGTGGGGCCTTCACCTGCCTTTTTATAGCAAGCATCGTGCAGATAGGTTCACTTCTGCACTGCTAGACTGGCCACAGAATTGGGTGAGTGACGCATATGATGCTTCTGAAAAAACTGCAAGAGGCCCGTTCACCTGGAACGGCCCTCATGGCTCTCCTCAGCTCCTTCTCATCCCCGCTCCAGGGAGCACTACTGAGCCTGGTCACGGAAGAGGAGAACAAGCAGCAGCAGGCCCAGGGTGTAGCAGTGGGGATTTGGTTAAATCAACACACTAATTGAGCGTGTTGGCATGACCCCGGCCAGAGCTCTGGCTCTCACCTGCACTGTGGTGCAAGCAGAGTTTGTACTCGGTATCAGAAGTACACTTTTTTGTGTATCTAGAGAGCCTAAGCCTGCTGAGGGGACAGGCCTCCAAGCACTGCAGCACTAGGAGAAAATACAACCAATCATATGAGCATTTATTAAGTAAAAAACAGGATAGATGCACTGATTCCACTGAGTAAAGGGAATTGAGAGTCAGAGACAATTACATTCATCCTTTTGCTTTTACTCCCACCTGTAACATGGACTTTATTAAAACACAATATTAGACACATATTAGGTGGGAAACAGCTTTGCTTCTTGCGCTTCATCCTCCAGGTGCAAGATCAGTGTAACCATTAAGCAAGTCAAGCTTTTTGGTACTAATTACACACAAGATCCTCAACCTAAAACATATCAGAAATATTACTTCCTTGGTTCCAGAGTACCACTTCTTACTTGTCCACCTCTTACGATTTTAAGTTTGCATATCCTTGCACCAGGAATTACGAGAACTCGCCCTCACCATGTGCAAAGGTGGTTGGAACAAGCGGACCCAGAATAAATAGCTAAATAACAACACAAGCACACGTTTGAGTCTAGACTTAGGCTGATTTCAGGAAAGA